ATTAAGCTTTGACCTCCCACCTACTGGCAGTTTGTTTTCTGCTGACTCTGAATCAGTTCTCCTTGACAGATACAAGTTTTACACTGGGGTTTACTGGAAGATGTGATTTAGAATTTATACACATCTGGAAAGCATACGTATGCATGCAGGATTTACACACCCACTCTGTATATAACATTCTGATATCCTGGTGCTTTGTCACAATGAAGACAGTTTACTGGAAACAGCTGTATCACTCCACAGACTGAGTGTTGGTGGAGGGCAACATTAAAGCTGACAATCATCAAAGTCTTATTTTTTGTTTCTCCTTAGCTGATAGCTAGCTATATCCCCAGTGAGCTGCAAAGTAATGAGAGCATGGTCAGATCGAGAGTTAGTTTAGATAACAACGAAAAGCACACAACAGATCTGTCATCACTTGGATAGCAGCAGCAGCAGCAGCAGCAGCAGAGTGCTGTGTTGAAGGTGGTGTATGTTTGACTAAGGCATAAAATGAATAAAATGTCCACAGACATTAAGTAGCTGTAGCCTGTAAGGACAAAATTATCAGATGCCAAGAGAAAATGAATATTCCTCTTAAAACTTTAGTGATCAGACAGAGTTTGGTAATGCAGTCTTTAGTGATGCCAACAGGCAAAATGTGACACAATATCTACTTCTGTCTTACATGTGATTGTTATGTCCTTAATTCAGATTACAGTAATTTGAAACTGCTGACCAGAGACTACAGGTCCCAGTCCACTCCATGTACGCAAAGACCTAATATAGCTTTGTCCATTAGTTGTGTGGTGGTCAAAGAACAGTCAAGATAATCAGTGATATGTGGTTAAAAATAAAAAATATATACTGAAAAATAAATAAATAAATACAATAAAAACTCTCCAAGGGCATGCTAACACTGAAAGTCAAACAAACTGCTACAGCAACTCATCAAAAGAAAAACCTCTTGCAGCTAATCGCATGTGTACAGACTGCCTTTGACACACAGAACAATGTTGTGACTAATGCTGATTAACTGAGAACACATATCTTCCGCCCCACCAGGCTTTTTAGTTCTCCACAGCAGCAAGTGTCAAACTACATAGTTTATATTCATGTTCTTTTGTTTCTAAACGGTTTTTTTCTTCCTCACATGTAGGCGTTTCAGTGGAGTGCTTTTGAAGCCCTACGAAAATCGTCATTAATAGCACCGTGAGGAGGTGTTACCCTTTTCCTCTCGCTCTTAGCATTTGGATGAAAAACTGCTCATATCCCACGCAGCTGCGTGCTTGCCTGGACTAGCCCAGTGGAACTCGCTGTTACTCATCCATCCAAAAAAATGACACAACTACCAGATCACAAACTGTCAAAGGAAGAAAGCCTGTTTAAACATTCATCCTTTGGATTGGAGCAACGTCACTGACTGACTAACCAGTAATTCTACAGCCACACTCATGGGGCGATCGTGGCTCAAGAGTTGGGAGTTCGCCTTGTAATCGGAAGGTTGTCGGTTCGAGCCCCGGCTTGGACAGTCTCGGTCGTTGTGTCCTTGGGCAAGACACTTCACCCGTTGCCTACTGGTGGTGGTCAGAGGGCCCGGTGGCGCCAGTGTCCGGCAGCCTCGCCTCTGTCAGTGCGCCCCAGGGTGGCTGTGGTTACAATGTAGCTGCCATCACCAGTGTGTGAATGGGTGGATGACTGGATATGTAAAGCGCTTTGGGGTCCTTAGGGACTAGTAAAGTGCTATATAAATACAGGCCATTTACCATTTTACACTTGGGGACACAGATAGTTTGGATGTAAGATGTAGCCCATCACACCCAGCAATTTAAGACTGGAGTCTGTGTATTAGTGGTATGACATGAAGATGAATCAAAGCATCTGCGGATCAAAGTATGAGATGACACAAATTAAAGTTAAGCAGAAAAAAGGTTTGTTTGTTTTTTGAGTGGCCACACCTGTTTACAAGCTATTATATTCAGAGATTACAACCTGTGGGGCCTTAAAGCAGGACAGGAATGCCAAGCTGTATTCATTTTCACCATATCCACAACTCCCTGAGTCCTACTAAGGGATTGCATGTCTCTTTCCTCTGCTACAAATATACACCAGAAGCAGTATCGTGTTTCAGTTCCGTCTCCTTTCACAATATACAGTCCATAAATCTTAAACAAACTGCATTTCTGCAGAGGTGGTGAGGCTCCCTGGCTCTCATTAGAGATTTCTTACAGTCAATAAATCACCAGCCTGGATATTTTTCATACTTTGTGACGATGAACAAAGCTCTGCTTCAGCCTGTCATTCCCAGGTGTTTTCCAGCTATAAAGCAGCCGCACATAGAGAAACAATGGAAGGGGTAAAGGAGGAGGATTTTGAAATACTCTTTTTTTTTTTCCTTAAACCACCTTGGTTAAATATGAATGATTTCCTGGTTTAGAATTTGAATTTGCAGTATAACATTATAAAACGTGTGGGTGAGAAATTCAGGCCAGGTCTGGTTTAAATGTCAAAGCTGTGAGCTAAATGATGAACAGACTTTGGCCCTGTGTGAACTTGACACCAACTGGACGCTTGGCCTCGGTTTGAAAAGGCTGCTGAGGTCAAAAATCACCCAGCTTATAGATCCGGAGGTAACATTTATTTATGTTTTAAAAAGACGAATTCGTGCTGTTCACTTTAAAGGTACATTTAACGTAAATACATAATAATAATAATAATAATAATAATAATAATAATAATAATAATAATTAACACAGACAAAAAACTGAGGATATAACATTAAGAGTAATATTTTTATTTTATGTGTAAACTCTATGGGGTAGAACTCAAACAGTCCACATGAACATAACAAACGTTACCCAGGGCTGTCGTTTTCAAAAATATCTTAAAGTTTTAGCCTTCTCGGTTATTTTACATATTAAAGATAATTAATATGTATTTTTCCACTAATACGTCAACTGGAACATGTTTGAATTAAAAAACATTTAAGAAAAGCCACTTACTTTTCCACTGATTGGCCCAGTTGCCAGCCCGACGAGGAACAACCACCACAGATTCCCCATTTTAACTTCCAAAACAATTTTTAAAAAAAACACGCTAGTTGAAAACGAGAAATTATATGTTGGTACAGTGAAAACGGTCAACTCGCTCTTCGGTGTTCAGTAGTACGTATAATTTGTTGTAGCGCTGTCGCTGTCGAGCCACTTCGTTAAATCTCAGTAAAGTTCCCGAGTGTGTCCCGGACTCGTTGTGAGAAGGACTTCGTCTGAAAAAGTTGTTTAGCCTGGTCGTGAAGCGTGGCTCTCTGCGGTGACGTCAGCACGCCGGTCCTTGACGACGGTAGTGGAGACGCACACACGAGCCGGAACCGTTGACAAGGTGACGACATTAGCTCAACTGCCTTACACCGAGGTTAATTAATAATAGGCTGAACGAGCGGCTTTTTCTTATTTACATTTTTAGTGTGGATATACGCTTTTTTAAATCCAGCAATTCATTTTGCCCTTTTTTGGAGGACTTGAGTCTGAGGCAAAGGCCATTTAGCTCTATGTAATTCACATGAATCCTGCTGTTCTATTGATGCCATATTTGCGGGGGCTGGGCAAACATTTCTTTTCAAAATGGACTCCCCTCCCTTGTGGCTATAAAATATGGTGATAAGCTTTTGTTTTGTTTTTTTGTAGCTATTATGATTCTATTGCTAAAAAAAAGAGGTTTTTAACTTTTACTCCTTCCAAAACAAAATTTTAATGCCGCACATTTTCAGCCTATTTCAGGAGACAGAAGACAGGGTTTTACTCAAAATTGTGGTTTGATTAGAGCTGTCATGAAATGAAGTGGAGGGAGGTCAGACAGGAAGGTAAAAGCTCAAAGGGGGACACAACAGCAGGTTTGTTATCAGAAGTATTGCTTAATGTTTAAACAAATCAAACACAAACAGAAAAAAGTTTGATTCCTTCTTTTCTCTGCTGATTTATATAATTAATGATGTATAAGCTAAAGGTGCATTAACCTGTACCTCTCCTGTCTCATTAGAATGAAAAATGAAAACAGGACAACGCTGCTAACAACCATGACAGGAGGCCCTATGATTACATCAAAGTGTAAATAGGTAACCAGGTTTCTGAAAAACATGTCAGAGCACACAAACCAGAGGGACGTGCTCATCTGAAAACATCCATTTCATGGCATGACTCAGATATCCTAGGACCTGAACTTGCTGGTTCCTTGTTACAGTCAGTTCAGTAAGTCAAGGCACATTTTTCAGATATTAGGGAGTCCATCAAAGTAACGGATTATCTTAATCGTTAAAGGGGAAAGAATGAAGCTCTCTGGAAGGTGAGACCACTGTTAAACAGAATGCAACAGGGGTGCCAAAATATTATTGCCCTCACAGGCCGGTGTTTTAAATGGCAGCCGAGAAACCAAATGCCACAACTTCAGAGCCCTAGCTTTAACAACATTTCTATATTTGTCCCTGCTCGGACTCCTCTAAGCTTTCACCTTCTTGCTCTAAAATCTGGCCCTCTTCCACCTCACCTCCTGACAGCAGTATGAGTAAAATCCTATCTGCCACACCCAGCGCTCTGTCACACCATCCATGATCACTGTTACTGCCATGGGGAGCATGACCCAACAACCCATGTTTAGGTGAGTATTAGGAGTGCAGAATGGAGTTTAAAAAAAAAAAAAAAAAAGGAAACAATATCATTTCATCATACTAAGATAAAAAATAAATAATTTTCCAAAAAGAATCTTCTAAACATTTATTTCAACTACTATACTTAAATTATCTAAAAACAAACAAACCAACCAACTATGAAACATTTATTCTTCTGGGTCTCAGGAGATTAGGAGCAATCATCACAGTATGGATTGATTTGAGACTAAACCATCTTTTGTGTGTTGGAATATACACACATAAATTTTACAACAAAAATAAGTTTCCCTTTGAGACATCGGAGAAATTAGCACATAGATCAGACGGAATAATTTCCAAAAACATAGATTTCAATAAAAACTTTATGATTCCATTGATTTTTATTGAAGGACAAGCTTGTTGTGACACACGGTGTGGTTCATGACTCCCTCTGGTGGAGAAAGGCTGTAATGACAACCAAGCAGTTTAAATGGCCGTTACTGTCAAATGCTTTACTCCCTTTCAAACCAACTCATATTTACAAAACATGAAGCCTAGTGTAGTTTCCAAACCTTGAAACCACTTAGGCAGTGAGAAGGATATTTTGACTCCATGTGAGGTACCTCAATTAATATTAATAATAAAAAACATTATCCAGCCATAACAGTTCTTAATTTGACACAGCAAACCAAGGATATTAGTCTTATAGCCTAACAGTCCACATTAATAAAACATCTTCCCAAGTATTGCTCATCAGAAATCTGAAAAATCTGTCATTACATGCGCTCAGCTTTAAAGAAACTGATGTTTTCTACTTTGTTATTTATATCCATTTGTGTGAATTTTTTGTTTCACTGAGACATTTTTGCGGGTCAATGTCACAAAAGAAAAGTGGATCCACGTAATTCAACGTTCCCTGAAAATAATATATTTCAGAACAGAAAATAGAGTTAAAACACGCAGTAGTCAAGCTGACACACTCAACCAAAAAGAAATAAATCATGTAATAAATAAAAGCATTATCTTATGGGTGAACTCATAAGCTGTTATTATAACCTCCCCAATTCGTTAATAACCTGAAAACTCATCTGATTTAATTGGTGACCCTATGTTGGTATCCTGACCTTTGGCCTGGGAACCACTAATGCAAGACCTAATCTATGGCTTCAGTTGACATCATGCAGATACACCAAACCTTTCATCAACCAATTTATAATTATTTTTTATAATACTTGATTAAGTTTATAAATGATAAAGCTTCCCTTTGGTAAAAGCTGAAAACATCTTTAAAGTCACTCTAAACTCTGCAGTTATAAGAAAAACAATGACATTTTTGAGCAAGTGCCTGTCGCTCATGTTGACACAAACACCATGCCACAAAGCTGCACAGTGTACTTCCTCCGGTTTAATAAAGGCAGAACATACAGAGTACAGAGGGACAGAGTCACAGGTTTACTGCTTCCACAGTGATATAAAGTTTTTTTTTCTTTGTTCTTCACCAGTGAAATGAAAGAAAGCACAACTCCACAATGAGATGATTATTATATGACCTGGCTTTTTTTTAAATACACATATATGGAGATGTGCAGTATTTCCCCACCACTTCCTCGAGGTGTGGGGTGGCGGTTCCTGCTTCAAAGAGTGCAGCAGAGCAAACAGGTGAAGACGTCACTGGACCCGGCAACAACGCTGTGCTCATTACTGTAAGTGCAAAGAAACCTGCTAATAGCAGTGAAGCTAGTCCTGACCAGAGCACTAGCAGCCGCTGATTACGTTACAGTTGCACCCACAGCAAGCACAGGACGGGCTTTGTCCTGCTGTTCCTGGCTCTGCAACACTAAGAAAACTCAAAGTTTTATCTGCACTGGACGTTGAAAGGAAAGAAAACAAAAAGATAAAAAGCAGAAATGAAAAATGACCGTCAGTCAAATGAAGGGAAACAGTGACACGCACACACTGGAGCAGAGTTTCTTCTGACATGCCCCAAACCAAAAGCAGATCTTCATGCAAGATGGATATCGTCCACACCTCAAAATTCGCTACAATTTTTTCCCTAAAATAATAATAATAATAAAAATCATATTCACATCATATAACTTCATGTGTGTTACGTGGTTGTCCATGCCATACCAGTGGGGCCCGCCCCACAGTTTGAGAACCACTGCACTATAGTCTCCAGAGATGTGAGCGTAATCTCAACCTCTGCTGTGGCCATGGGACAGTAAAACAATGAGGTGTGTTAAAAATAAAAATTCTAGCAGAAGTCTTTGCATCAAGTTAAAGAGGACCAAGAGCGCTGCGAGACAACCATCATCTGCGAGGTAGAACTTCATCTGACCCCAGCCTTGATGTCTGATGGTCTCATATTCCTCTTCCAAATTGGAGGGATCTGCATCACAGAGAGAAGAAATTATTTTTACGGATGCATTTCTCTGGATCAGTCCAGGGAAAGGTGTGCATAGTGTTACGCAGACTGGACTTTACAGGAACACATAACAAGGCACAGTGTCTGTGTATGCGTTTGCATTACTCGTGGGGGTACTGAAGTCTCTAGATGCCGTCCCAAAAATGATAAAAGTCGCCTCCATATCAGCCCACTGCCCAAGAACATGAAACCTGTTACCAGCCAGAAAGCGCGGGGGTCCTGTAGGAGAGACACACAGGCAGAGCAGTGCATAAATATCTGTTCATAAACATTAAGCACTAGTTACAACTATTAAAAGTATTGATCAGAAGTTGTCTCACATCTTCGAAAGCTGTTGTCAAATTCATTCCAAACGCCACACCTATTAGGCCAAATAAGGAAAGGGAGAAGGACCCCATGGTCAGCTGCAGATTCAGTCGCATCATCACGTTCCGGTGGCTGGAATAAAGCACACAGTGCTCTCAGTGGCTGCAAGAAATCATACAAAACAAGAGAACGCCTGATCTGGCAGAGAGGTGTGGGATGCCAGATCAGGCGCCCCCCTTCCGGCTCTCTTCTCTTTTGTCTTACTTCTCGCTATCACCTTTTCTATCCCTTTGAAGAAGTGAGGCTCTTTAAATATTAAAGAGGTAAGTATTACTTTTGTTTTGCAGTGAATTGATAGAAGAAAATAATTTAGAAAACTAAACAAAAGAAAGTAGAAATAACAGTGACACACTCCTGATCAACCCTCGCAGGGCCTCCTTGGATGAGGGTGTCTAGTGATAATGGCTGAAACACCCAATGAATCCAAGGTCCACCACTGATGATGGGTCCCAAGTTATATATTTCTGTAATTCAGACACACTGTTGAAATAGCACTTCAGTTTTGTCTCATTTTATTTATTTTGTAAAAATGTGTACTGAAACTTCTGTACTGTGGCAGAAAAGGTAGTTTTGCTGGTTTTCCTTATGAGAACAAAGTGGGTTGCATGTCGCCCTCGATATAAAATGAGTCTCACATTCCTAACCTAGACGATATCTGACATCTGGGGGAAAAAAAAAAAATGCTAATTAGTAACAAAACTGGGTATATATTAGAAAAAAAGAAAAAAAAAGGCATCCCACAGATGGTAAGTGTCTCTGAAATAACTTCTATTTTGAAATAATGGATGCCATCAGCTTATTATCAGCAGGCGTGCGTGCGTGCGTGCGTGTGTAACTGCACATGGCAGGAGTAACGAGCACGTTTGTGAAGGCGCCACTGTTTCTGAATCACATTTACAGTCCTGTGAAAGAGGAACATTCTGACAGGCGACTATCCAGTCGTGCGCCCAAAACTCTCCTTTCACATGACTGTACTTATTTTGGAGCAACATTTACTGCAATTCAGATAAAAATCTTTTAAATACGACCTTGCCTTCTTCAGGATGACAATACCAAACCGCAATCTGGACGTGTTAGAACATCCCCCTAGCTCACAAAATTCCACACGAGTACAAAGATGCATCAATTTTTAGTAAATTTAATTTTTCTTGTTAAATTGTAGATGGCAAAGCATTTTTTTGGGGGGGGGGACTGAATAAGATCAAATTCAATCTTCAAACATAATGGCTTGTTAAGCCTCATTATCAGTGTTTTGAGTTTGTTGCTTCTCAAAAACATCAGTCTATAGTGTGCATGTATACATAATGTATAGCCAATTTGTACGTACCTGTCCAGATTGATAAAGATTACACTCTCAGAGTCGTCTATCAGACCCTTCAGCTCTCTGGCTCTGTTCCCAAGTTCCTCGGCCTGTGTGAAGTATTTCACGGTCAATATGACAACAATTGTACAACCTACACCTTACTGACAGCCCATCACAACTGCCACAGGTAACATGTAAAGTGTTTCAGTGCTTCGGATATTAAACTAAAATAGAGGCAAAGAAATAAGTAATCACCATAGCAGAAGCATAAATGGGTATAAATGCTTAGATGAAAATAAAAAAATAAAAACATACGAAGTGGTCGTGGCTTGATGAAATCTATGACAAATGTGTCCTATACAATGTGTGAGCATGCAGCCTTTACCAAGACTTTTGCATAATTGCAATATTTGTTGATCATGTTAAAACTCGGGAATTTAAAGTACAGCTACCTGCATATAATAATTCTCCAATAAAAGCTCCATCTCCTCAGCGTGGTCAATACCCAAACTGCTCTCTTCACTAAAAAGGCAGACAGACATGAGGTTATATACAAAATAGAAGCACACAAGTTGAAGAGAATGGATAGATGGATGAAAAATAGAAGTACAGCTGGGCCTGGCAGTTTGGGCAGAATTAATTTAATTTGAAAAAACAAAACAAAAACCCACATACACAGAAAAAGGTTAACCTGTAACGTATGATCTGCAGGTGAGTGAAAACAGACTGGAAACAGACTTTGATCCTTGGGAACTCAACAAATTCGTGTCTTTCTTTTTCAACATGCTTCACCACTGACTGGAGATTTCCAACTATTTTTAAGATACTGTGTTCAGCACCCATATACATGTGTCTGAGTGCATGTGTGACATACAAAACTCTTGGGTCTGTCCATTTTGTGAGACAGAACTCTTCAACCGTCTCATCCTCATCCAAGACCTTCAGCATGGAGTCCTTAAACATTTTTATGTCTGTCTCCAACTCTGATAAGCTGTAACAGGCGTGAGAGAAGGGAAAACTTACAAGACTGTAAATCTTTAGGCTGAAAACTTCCATTTACATATATGCCAGATGCCATTAATGACTTCTTCAAATACAATTACATGTCTTGAGTGATTCATTACCTCTTGCTATTCTGCAGAAGTACATGTAGTTTACTTCTATCAGCAGAAAGGATTTTAGGGTCTACGAGGGATTCCAGCGTATCCAATATGACTGGTTCAACTTCATTCAAGCGGGCTTGCAGCGTGTTTACCTGTTGACACAGATAATACAAAGCTTCAGGTGTGTGTCCTTGACTTTCATTCAGGCTTTATCTAGGTTAGACCACGCTTAATTACACAAGCACTCTGTCTGGTCTGATCGGTTTCACCTTGTGCTGCAGGATGGCTTCCAGTGCTCTGAACTCGAAGGGCAGAGTGTGCGTCTGTGACGCTAGCTGGGGGGCGAGCTCCAGAACTAACCAGCGCTCCAGTCCAAGACCACGAAAATCCAAGACCATAAGAGACTCCGGGGTCAAGATGGCTTTCAAGGCCTGAAAAGACAGCGAGTGGAGGTTATGGGCTAGAGCTTAAACAAACAGACGAGGACAAAATTATTACCCTCCCTATTAAATATAACAGAAATTTTCTGTTATATTTAATAGGGAGGGATTTTCAGTATAACATTTCCAAATACACCAATTGTCTTTTTACTAAGTATTAATTATTACTAGCTCCACACAATAAATTATTTCAGAAAAAAAAAATATTAGTGTCAATATTATTAGTATTACACACAGAGGATGCTTCAGAGTGTGTGTGGAACTGGGAATTTCGTCAAGGTGGAAGGAATTAAGCAAAAACAGAAAGCCTCAAGCAGTCACCAGTAAACCTGGGTCTTCCAGCAAAACATACGTTCTCCTGGTGAAGAACAACCTCCAGAAGACTAAAGTGAACATTACTGACTGGCTTGTAAAAAGCTCCAACTTGAACGCTAACGAAAATCTGTGGGGTGAACTGAAGACAAGGGTCCATAGCAGAAGATCATTAAATCTGCAGGAGCTTAAGAGATTCTCTAAGGAAAAAAATGGGCTGTGAGACTTACTCACAGGACACAACTGACTATTAGCATCAGTGAGACTAGTAATTTTAATCCTGGTTTATGTCAATAGTTTTATTTCTTTGTGCAAATTAAAATAATGTAAGCAACCAAAATGAAACTAGGACGTTTCCCGTGTTGCAATTTCCTTGCTTTGTTTAACAGCCCTTGGGAAATGCTGAAAAATAATAATAAAATTTCCACAGGGAGGCCAAAAAAGTCTGTCCTCATCCACATACTCTGATCCAAAGAGTGAATGTTTAAAATATGCTTTTTTGTTAAAGACTCCATGGCTGAATTTCCTTTAAAGGCTTTGGAGACATGACATGGCGCCCGGTTAACGTTTTACTGTTAACATGTCAGTGCTCTGTTTGACTCTGAACTGTAAATATTTGTGGTTAGAGATTTGAAACTTGAGCACCAATCAGGATCTAGTTGTGCCTCCCTGGTCCTGAGTCCCACTTAGATACCGCCAACATACAACTGTGAATGGTCAGCATGTCACAGCCTGCAGAGACCTCACGACGACATAACAGAGCTGAAAACTTTTAGTTCTTCAGGTAATGAAGCATTCTGTGTGTGTACATTTGTTTATGTAGCACATAACTACAAGCTTGTATTGCAGTAACTGCAGTCTCAGTCACTTACTGATCACAGTCCTTGCTTATGTTTGCTTTACACTTTATTTCCTCTAATTTTAGACTGAAACATATCTTCTGTGGTTTCTACCCTTGTACAGTCAGGACTAACGATGGCTGTGAAGCTGTCCCATCTCTTCTTGCTGCTGGTTATGCCGAGTTTCAGTTTGACCAGTGGACAAAAATGCTCCACATCTGACTCCAGCTGCAATCAGTGCATCCAATCCGGCCCTGAGTGCGCTTGGTGCACTGCCCCCAACTCTAGCATTCACTGTCATACTGTGAAGGGGCTGCAGAGAGCTGGCTGTCATAAAGGTCATATATATAAACCTCAAAGCAGTGTGCAGGTCATCAGGAATGACAGCAGGTAAGCTGTTTTAAATACCTCTTTAGTCATTAAAGGACACCTGACAGTTTTTTAGTGTTCCATACAAAAAAAAAAAAAAAAAAGAAATTAACCTTCCAAAGTTTTCTTTTGTTTTTATTAATATGAAAGTTTCAGATTGGATTCAAATATATTTTGGAACAGAAAAGGGCCTTTGTTATGATTTAAAAAAAAAAAACTTACAATGTTATTTCTTGTGATTCTGAACTTCTGCAGAACAGACATAGCAGATGCCAAAACCATCTTCCTGCAGCCCCAGGAGCTCGCCATTCATTTGAGGCCAGGTGTGAGCCAGTCCTTTCCTCTGTCAATCTCTATGCCAAGTGATCATCCTACCACAGACCTGACTCTAGACACCAGCAACGTGCCAGCTGGTCTCAACATCACATTCAGTAGCATAACTACAGGAAACCCCTTACTCATGCAGGTCAGAAAAAGAAATCCTGTCCAACACAGTCTCTTGCAGAAAGAAAATGTTCCTTCTTGTTTGTCCCCCAAAAATCAAATTATTCGAACAACAGTTCCTCTGGCGCTGCAGGTAACTGTGGAAGCAGCACAATGTCCCAGTAAGAGTGACATCTCAAACCAGAACAGCACTGGACCCTGGTCTGTCCAGATCACACCCAGAGGCTTTGCAAAGAGTGTGGCGTTGGAGGTAACTTTGCAGTGTAAGTCTGCAGCAACCTAAAGCAAGTCTTCATGAGACTGTTAGAAAATTGAGAGTTCAATAATTCAGCTAATTTTTCTTCAGTGTGATAATAACATTAAAAATCTATTTGCTTCACCAGGTCAGTGTAGTTGCACTGAAAACAGAGAGGAAAACAGTCCCACCTGCAGCAGCCACGGGGCGCTCGTGTGTGGGCGTTGTGTGTGCTATCAGCCTTATGTTGGAAACCTTTGTCAGACTGACATAACTTCCTTTGAGTCAGAAAATGAAGACTCCTGTCGCTCACGCCCTGGCGCCCCGGTGTGCAGCGGCCGGGGTGTGTGTGTGTCGGGCATGTGTCACTGCAACCAGCGGGAAAATCCAGAAAAGATACGCGGACAATTCTGTGAGTGCACAAACTTTGACTGTCCATACCACGAGAACAGGTAAAAACAAAAAGTTGCCACGAGTTTGTATATAAAATATACCGATATAAAGTTATCACACAGCTTCACAGTTAAAACACTACATTTTTAATCTGACAGAATATGCGGAGGCAATGGGATATGCGAGTGTGGAATGTGCCGCTGTTATGCGAACTGGACAGGTAGTGACTGCAGCTGCAGCACGGAAACTGCTTCCTGTGTGGCAAAAAACCAGCAGCTGTGCAACGGTAGGGGGAACTGCGTCTGTGGAAAGTGCCAGTGTTTGCCACAGTACCAAGGGCCGACCTGTGAGGACTGCCCTGTTTGTGTAGCACATTAGAGATGGGAGCAAAGATGAACACGTGAGACTGGATATTTATTTACTTCTTATACCGTACGATGTTTTGCAGACACTATCATTACTACAAGAAAATGAAGATATAGAAACACACCATCATCTGAACACTTTATAGACAAGAGAAGCAAGACTGCTTTAACACCGTATCCTCTATTTGTCTTCCACAAACTCTTCACAGAGCCAACATTGTGAAACTTTAACTTTAGTTAAAACTGTTTGCTAGACTTTCTGTATCACTGCTGGTTATGATGAATGAGCAGAGTGTGCATCTCCTCCTCTGAGTATAGTTCTTGAACTGACTGTGCCTTCTCATTCGTCATCAGGTGTGACAGAAAGTGTGGCTACCTCATCGTGACAACGGTGGAGATAAAATACGATGTGCTGAGAGAACAGAATTCATTCATTCTGTAAAATGATGAACCATGATGGTTCCAGAGGATGATAGATTGTAGGTTGGACTAACATATATATGATAACAGGATTTTTACTTTTCAAAAACATGATAAAGATCATCTTATTTTGATTGAAAGCAACATCTGAAAAATTAAACTCCAGTTTTTCGGCTCAGGTGCGGCTCATGCTACGCCTCCTGTGGTGTAAGAGGAGCGTGGCAGACAAAGGAAAAAGAAATAAAACATACCGCCATTCGTAAAATAATGCAGTTATTTCTAGCAGTGAGGCTGGTAGTGTGTTGGAAGCGTAGGTCTCTGGCTTGAAGACTTAACTCCTGGCAAAGCTCCGTCTTCTTTTTTTCTTGAAGAGAAAAACAAAGAGGCACACATGTACATATAGTTGGGCCAATCTCTACACATGAAGTAGAGGTTGAAATACAACTGATTTTTACTCATGGATAACAGAAGTGAGTCACTGGTGGTAACACAACCCATTAGTGGCTGCTGCACAGGGGAAGTAACACAGAAACACAGCAGTGATGGACAAAAATGTGGTGCATGTCCAGTTCCACACATAATAAAAAGGATACGGAAGAGTACTTCAGGGACATGTTAAAAAAAAAGAAAGAAGAAAAGATCCCTATGCTCTGTCACAATGCCAGAGATAAGAGAATCATCAGTCTCAGTGCCAACAACATGTAAACATTAATGAGGTTAATTTCCTCACACTTACCAAATGACGTCACATTTCCCTCTTGGTCAAACTTCATCTGTCAAAGAAAGAAAACATGAAGCTGATTGGTTACATCAAGCAACCACATCTTCACTGCATTTTTGCACAGCGTTGAAACACAATTGTGTGAAATGTAAATAATAACAATAAATTACTTGAGCATTCCAAATGCTATGCTTATTTGTTTTTTTTAAATATCTATCCATCTCCACACACACGGCTGATCAAATGACAAGTTTGTTTGTTACTGTTGGGTTTTTTTGTTTTTTGTAACAAAACCTTATTTTTGATGCCAGCACCAAAATAATAAACAAATAAATAAATAAATAATGGTGTAAGCTGATGACAGGTCAGTAACCTCACAGGTGCTGAGTGTTTCTAAGGTAAAGATGGGGAGGATGTATGTTAAATTATAAACGTGTGAATGAAATCTACAGGTTTTGTAAACAAAATAATAAGATATTGTTTATTGCAGCAAGACAAAGTGACAAACCACATCCCAAAACCTTTCAAGTAGTATTAGCAACTATTAATTAATGACTGCTTAAATTAATTTCTCTCTTACCACTACAAATGCCGGAGCTACAGTGGAAGGAGGGGCGTCTGAGACTCTTCTGCAGATAAAGGACACTGTTCAAAGAAAAGACCAAGTTAAACCATGTGTGCAGGAAAGTATTTGACATGTAACGTTGAGCAGTACCTTGGACTACAGCAGAAAGACAATAGCTTGGTTCTCACCTGTATGTACAGAGCTTTGGGTCGGGATAATAAAGTTTAGAATTACAAACCTTAGCATACAATTCTTCATTATTCTAACTTAAAATGCAGTCAAGTGGAAAAGAAAATTTTAAAGGGAGACTATGTATTCCTGTGAAAAACTCACTACATCCCATGATGGGCAGCAACAGTTGCTTCTCTAAGATCAGTGCTAATGTGTTTTCTTCTTGGCACTGTGTTAATATGCATCTAAATGCTCCAAACCAGCAAACTACCATAACGTCTGCTTTTATAGGGATGCTCACGCTTGCTGATGATTAGCTAATCAAATACATTTGATTAGCAGCAGCTGGCTGCTCATTACCCTCCTAACTCATATGAAAGCAGTAAAGGTGTAATTAGTCTCTTTTTTTACATGCTGTAATAGATAAAACCTTAGAATTGAAAGAGACTATTTTTACCATGACTGTAAAGACAACTATAGGTCACGTGGAATACTTGTATACTGTGGTCAGTATGAGCCAAATTAACTACATCATCTTACCAGGCCACACTACGCCTCTCTGCAGCAGGTTTCTCTCAGTTCTCACTGCAGCACACTGAGGTCTTCTGGTCTGACATGTGGATAAAGGCAGTGCTTGACTGACCAGTGAATTCAAGCAGACATCACTGTAGTTCCTGCTGAATGATCCCAGTCTTACATTTCCCTGTGGCACAGAGTGTCCCGTTGGACAGAACTCTGCAGCTCTGCTATAATAGCTGAGGGTTCTTGTCCCACCAAGTCGTGAGGAAAAAGGACCAAGAGAGTTTAAAAACCACTTTGGATGAAAGTTCGCACAGCCGGCCAGCAGTAACTTGTGCATTTTGATCTCCACACCAACGCAACACAAAGCCTTTACGCAGACCGCCATACTGGCGCTGGAGAGCTGATGTTCACCACAGGCAAGGGATTATACCAGGCACAGCAGCAGGGAAGGGAGGAGGATGAAATTAAGACACGCTTTAACTTCCATAAGCAAAGAAAGCTGCAAGCACCAAGTGTTTACAATCCTCTCATTAGTGGTGCCTCGGTGCCCTCCAGATGTTTGCCAAGCTATGTGTTAGACGAGACAGTCCTGACCCACAGGTACAACAAGAGTGAAAACTTCCGTTACATACGTTACAGTAACTTCACAGTACACATAAGTATCTCTCACGCGTACATTGCCTCGCTTTCACCTGCTTTTATAACTTTCTTCAACTTCGTCTCGCGGCTGTTTGTTATGCTAACTATCTTAGCTGCTGCAGTATAACAAACATGCTTCACTCACAACAGCCGACAAGTTTTAACGTGACAGTAAACGCAGACACGAGTATCACAGACAGGTCACCTGCCGATGCCTGTAAAGTGTCCCGAGTCTACATGTGCGGCTGTGTTTCAACCTGAAAACACAGCTCCCCGGCTTAACGTGATGACAGGAGGACAGAAGAGCACGGGCTCTCTGGACCATAATGCACCGCGGCGGCAGCGCAGAGCGCCGAAGATCGTCCATGATTGAGGTGATCACTCCGACTGAGAACCTTTCCATCAAACACACCCGTGGCTGTAGAAAAAGGTCATTGAAACACACAAAGAGGATTAATAAATACTGAGGCCACGAGCGATCCCTTTGCATTACATATAAAAGCCAGTATCCGCCAGGGAGAGACAAGTATGGGAAGTAAATAAAGGAACTAAATGTATGGAAGCTTGTTTCTGGAGAAGAATTCAATAAAATACATAAAATAACAGGTCGACTTACTCTGTAAGTTTGTTTTGCGAAACAAACTATGGTACGTCAAAATGCTGAAATTAGTTAAATACTAATATATTGTATTTTTAATAAATTATTAAATTTAATAAATTCTAATTATAATAAACTAGTCAAAGGCTGCCACAAAACGATTTAAAGTTTATTTGTTGTTGTTTTTTTATTTGACCGTTGTCTTATTTGAAGTATCACATTAATACTTCTGTTTCATGTATTGCCAGCTGTAACAAAGGATTTCATGAACTTAGCTATACATTTAATTGTTTCCTAACTGTGGACTTCTCTGTTTTCATTTAAAGTGATCTTACCACTAACATGTTAATTAGCTAGGTGAAAAAGAGCTTTCGTATTTCCACCCTAATATTATTATTTCTGTTTCCTTTGGAGAAATTGTTTCCATGTAATCTCCCGGCATAAATGGCGCTTCGGTCCTCTAACGCAGTGAATAAAACTCTGAGTGTAAAAGCAGAAGAAAACATATTTTCTCGCTCTGCAGTGATTCTGCTTTTCGTGCATGTCTATAATAATGTTTTAATTAATTATTTTTCTCCTTGTGGGCTCAGTGGTAAAAGCGGTGTGGGCGCAGCCGCGGAGGTTTTTGTCAGCATCAGCATCTTCTGCTGGATGCGGATAACCGGAAGATGGTGAATCAGAGAGGAAGCGTGGGGATTGTATTGTTACAGTTACAATCCCGAACCAGACCGCGTCCATTTTAAAAAAAATAATTTCTTTAAATGTTCAGTATTTTGCGGGTGAAACTCTGAGTCGCTTGGCTGCCATGTTCCCGTCTTGTTACTCCAAACCTGCGGACAGCGGCAGTAAGAGGAGCTCCATCGCTAAGCTGCTGCTCGGGGTGTTTGTGGTTTACATGCTCCACACCGCCTGGCTGTTGTACGGTTTCCTAAACACCAAATCCTGCGATGGAGGCAGAGGAGAGCACTGCATCACCTCCTATCTGGCAGCCAGACCCAGACTACAGGTTAGAGCTTGTCTTATTCCTGATGGCAAATCTCTGAGATCCAGATCCATAGGTTTGAAAAAAAATCTGTCCATGTGCTGCTCAGCAAGAAGCCCTTATTGCTAAAGTGTACTGTCTACATGGTAGTTAGAGAAAAATATGATAAATTGTCATTTGGCATTTAGGTTTGTGTCGTTTTTGTGCACATCTACTTTAAAACTATGGCATTTTCATGCATTCTCTTCATGAAAATATTGATAGATCGTTTTGTTTGCAGGTGTTTACTTTGTGAAATCTGTAAAACAGACACACATTTGAAGCACAGTCAGGATTATCTCGTCGCTTTCATTTTGAAAGGAATCTCAAACTAAGATGGAAACCTTGTTTTAACATCTCGTCTTCTCCTTCATTCAGATGAGTGTTTTTACCTGTCTCGTGCCAGACAACAGCCCCCTCGAGCTCGCTGTAAAAATAGACCCGTTCGACCCTCACTCGAGATTTGAGAGGTGGGTTTGACATGTTGATAGCTGCACAGGAGCAGACCAACAATCTGAAAAATTATTTGTTTATTTTTTAACATAATGGTAGCAGCATCGCAGTTATTGCAACATAAATCTTTAGTCATATAAATATATAGTCATCAAAAGACTTTACCGACCACTGATCACAGTGACAGTCACAGTATGCTGCAAGTACTCAGTAATGATTAGCATATTTGATTGTTTATGAAGGCCTAAAACACGCAGTTTTTATTTTTTATGCCTATCTCTCTCTCCACAGAAAGGTGCATGTCTCTCTGCCAGGAGAGACTCGGGCTAATGGCACCCTCTTTGCAGTTGTTTATGTGCACAAGGCTGGCGTTTCACCTTTGGAGGACAGCAGAGAGGTCCACTATGCAGTCCAACTCACCACCTACATCACCCCCTCACGCACCGACGTCCAGAAAGACAAGGAGAAGGTACATCATCACTCAGGACTGCTTCATATTTCACCCAGCATGTTGCCTTTACATATATTCGATATAATGGGGCCTTTTTATGGGGCCCAGCTGCCTTGCACAGTGCATTATTTATTTATTTTTTTGGTTCCACCCAGAAGCCGAGATCTGAGAACCCTGTATCCCACTGGAGACCCCACCTGTCACTCACTGTCATGTCAGAGGACTTCACCTTCACAAAGGCTGGGCTTCCCAGTGACGTGCGCCGCTACATGAGAGTGTAAGTCAGATGAAGCTTTGGAGGTCAAAGCCAGGTGAGCTGTCAGCGTACTGCTGACTTCTGCTGTTTTGCTGCTGCAGTGGCACCGAAAGGCTGAGAGGAACAGATACTTCTGACAGAAAATCAAACACACTGGTGTTTTGTTGCAGGTGCTGTGTTATTATTCAAAGGGCGCAATACATATTGAAAAACATCTAGAAGAAAGTCCGCTTTAGATACAGTGTCTGGTGCAGTAAAAGTATCATCACAAGGGTACATAAATAAATAGCCCTTTGTCACTGCTCGCTAGCCAAACAATTCTTTAGTCTTTAGTAGATATTAATTTATATTAATTAAAGAAAAATAATGAAAATGGGGAAAAAAGTCTCTTATCTGTAAAAGATGATCCTCTAGATCTGGATCACAAGTTACAAACAGCCACTGGTAGACTCTGTAATCTCTCAGCAGGCTGGAATTTAAAGGCAAAGTAAACCTGTTAGACCTCTCAGCTGCTACCATTAAGGTGCCTCAGGGTAAGGTGTTTAAGTGTATGGATGTGTACTGTAAACGTGTTCACAAATTTCCCGGGGTGAAAACAAGGATCACTTTGAATTAAAGAACCTTCCTGCTTTTCTCTGCAGCTCTCAGGAAGGCAGACAGATGATGTACCTCCCTCTGCTGATGGTTAATGAGCTCAACTTCAGAGTCAGAGACCTCATGGTATAGGAAGCTTTTTCTAGTAAACTTTAACAGACACTTGCTTATTTTGATTATTACTATTTTTTTTTTTTGGCTGATTTAAAATGAACACATATCCGTTTATCCATTCACCGACAGGAGATCAGCAGCGGCACCGTTCAGCTCCCTCTCACTGTGTCCTATGAGGGAATCTCTCTGAGAGGATTCAGGTTTTGGGTCCACCTACAGGACATGGTTTATTCCCTGCAGCAATTCGGTGAACTATTTATATAACAGACATATGATTTAAGGCATTATAATGATTCATTAATCTTAATTATATCATATTAATTATATGTGGTAGCTTTTATTTGTACTCAAATACAACCCAAATAATACCTCAGCTCATCAAAATGAGCTCATCCATTGCTTCTTTGTGTCTCCAGGCTTCACAGACGAAAACATCGATGAAATTAAAGAAGCTCTGGTGGGATCCAACCTCTACCTGTTAGTGCTGACTGCTTTCATCACAGCTTTGCAAGTAAGAGAGCATATTAACACGGACTTTGTGGAAGGAAATGTAATTTCTTTTCTAAATGCTTTATTTCCTTTTTTTCAACAGCTGATCTGTGAGTTTCTGGCTCTTAAAAATGACATCAGCTCATGGAGGAAAAAGAAGAGCATGGCGGGGATATCGAGGAAGACAGGTGACCATAATCATGTTAGGAAAAAAAAATATGCGTGGCATCGGTCAGCTCAGAAAATGTTAAATTCCTTTTTTCGTTTTCAGTTCTGTGGCGTAGTCTCGGTACTTTGCTGATTTTCCTCTATCTTCTGGAGGAGACCAGCCTGCTGGTGCTCCTTCCTGTCGGACTGGGAGCGTGTGTGGAGGTAGTTATTAGTATATCTGGTGTTGCTCAGACAAATTAGAGTCAAATAAAGATCAAAACAGAGAGTTATAAACCAGTAATCGCTTATCCCACCAGGTGTGGAAGGTGTTTACAGTATTTAAGATCCAGATACAGTGTAAAGGCAACAAGCTTCATGTGAGTATGGAGCACTTGCACATCTGTGTTCACAGCAGTGTGGAAGAATGCATCATACAAGTTGTGATCTCTAAGTGATCCGTCTTACTCTATAGGTTAATAAACTGGATGAAGAGGAGAGAAAGACAGTGGAGTACGACACACAGGTATCAGTCTGTTTGTTTTATGGCTCCTTTAATATTCTCCCTCGGGCTTTCTTTCATTTTTACATTTTCATCTTTGGCTTTTCCCTCGAGGCGTCCAGATACTTGTCCTACTTGGTGTATCCCCTGTGCATCAGTGGAGCCGTTTTCTCTCTGGCCTACTTACGCCAAAAGAGGTGAGCCAATCATCAAATTCATCTCGTCGCTACTTAATTTGTCATTATTAAAGCGGTGCCAGACTTCACATTTGTGCCAACCTCCTTTAAAAAGTCACCTTTTAAAGATTCTCGTCAGATCTGAATGTTTCTTACATTTTAGTCTTATCCATAGCTGCCTGACATCCACGTTGTCTATTTTTAAAACTCATCTTAAACGCATTCTTTCTCTTTGGCCTTTGACCCAACATTAGACATTGATCTTGTTCATTTTTTATTGTGTTATAGCTGTTTTTACCTTTCATAGTTTAGAGTGTATTTATCTATTTTTGTGTATAGGACTTTGTGTCTGATGTAGCTTTTTTAAAAAGAGCTTAATGAATAAAGTTGGTATGGATTGGTTATTATGTATACCCTGAAAAGCCTCTGATTATTTCATTGACAGTTACTATTCCTGGCTGATCAGCACTCTGGTGACTGGTGAGTTTTCTTGCATCCATTCTCAAAGATTATCTATAATAAGTACAGTACTTAATTCTTAATAATCTTTCTTTAAAACTAACCTTACTACTCCCTATGGGCTCATTTAAAAAACAAAAAACAAAAAAAAAAAACAAGGCATCTTATTTCATTGTTATGCTGACGACTCACAGATTTGCCTACCACTGAAAAGTAAATCTGTGAGTCCTCTGAAGGGTTTACTAGATTGTTTGGAGGATGTTAAGGCATGGGTGGTTTTAAACTTTCTTAACTTAAATGAACAGAAAACAGAAGTCATTTTGTTTGGTCCCTGTGACCACTACGACTTGGGCCCTTTAGAAGTTTATTAAAAAAAAAATCTTTGCGAGGAACGCAATCTAATGTTTGGTAAACAGATCAATGCTGTAATCAGGACCAGTTTCTTTCATCTCCGGCTACTTGCAAAAGTGAAGCCACTCCTCTGTTTTAGAGACTTTGAGAGAGCTATCCATGTCTTTATTCAGGTGTCAGTCTGTCATCAGTTAACCGACTGCAGCTGGTCCAAATCACTGCAGCACAGTCACTAAGGCTACGTTCACACTGCAGGCGAAAGTGCATCAAATCCGACTTTTTTGACCCTATGCGACCCATATCCGATCATGCTATGACAGTGTGAACGGCACAAATCCGATATTTTCAAATCCAACCTGGGTCACTTTCGTATGTGGTACTGAATCCGATACATATCCGATGTTTTAGAAAGCGACTGCTGTTTGAACGGTCATGTCGCATTAAATCCGTCTTTTACGTCACTGACACAAGACAGACGCCAATTATCAGCGCCGGAGAAGACATCACGAACACTTCCTGGCCATCCAGTGTAGATGTCAGTGAAACTGTTGGGAAGACAAAGTTGGAGAAACATGAACATTTTATTTGTACTGTATAATCTGCAGATTCTGACAGAAATCTGCAGCTATCCTTTGAAGCACCGCTCCTCTAAAACAGCAATAAGGATAATAATTAGGCCATATATAAATAACAAAATAACTTTATAACTTAAAGCAAAATTGGGAAACGTAAAGTCCGAAACAAGCCTTTATATTAAGGGCCATCAGTCAAACAATATTGTTTGCTCTGGGTCTAAACAGAGCGCGTTGTGTGTGACGTCTTCTTTTGTGCATGCGGGCCGCTTTGAGCGTTCACACTAGAGCGCGTTTGCTGTCGCATTTTATTTGTAGTGTGAACGAGCAGACAAAAAAATCGGATTTGATAAAAAAAATCGGAATTGAGCATTAAGACCTGCAGTTGCAGGACTACATATCTCTCATACTAGCATCCTCACACTGGCTGCCAGTTAGTTTTGGAATTTATTTTATTATTTGTTTTTAAGGCGGTTAGCACCCTCATACCTTTCTCATCTTTTGAATTGGCACACTCCTGCAAGATCACTGAGGTCTGCTGATCAAATGATCCTAGCTGTCCATTAAAGCACAGAGGAGACCGGGCCTTTGCTGTGACTGCTCCTAAACTGCGGAACAAACTGCCGCTTCACATCAGGACCTCTCCAACATTAGACACTTTCAAAACCCATCTGAAAACCCACTTTTATTCCTTAGCTTTAAATCAGCTGAGTTTGCACCACTTTTATTTGTCATATCTCCTCATTTTATTCTCCGCTTCTTAAATTTTATCATCTCTTCCTATGTTTTTATCTCTTTTGATTATCTTACATTTACAGAACCTTGGTCAAGAGTTGTTTTAAATGTGCTATATAGATACATTTGACTTTGACTTTTACTATTATTTACTTTTGTATTTATAATACCTGCCTCCTCGCCTCAGGAGTGTACGCCTTTGGCTTCCTGTCTATGGCCCCTCAGCTCTACATTAACCACAAGGTTTGTGTGGCAGCTAAACAGCAACACTTCAGAAATATTTTCTTTGGCTAAAATTTCTACGTTAAAAATGAAAACAAACCAAACCTCCTCCCCCTCCCTTGTTTGTTCACTTTCTACTGTGGGACAGCTGAAGTCTGTGAGTCACCTGCAGGGGACAGTGTTGATGTACAGGGTGAGTATTTCTTGAGCTCATTCACAAGCAGCATCAGCAGGTTTCCTTTGTGCTGCGTTTGGTGTTAAAGCGATTGAGTTCGGTCAGCTATCCTCTCTCGTCTCCAACAGGGAGTCAACACGCTGATTTCAGATCTGTGCTCCTGTGCCTCCTTTTTTTCCTCCTCTGGATCCTTCTCTTCCTCGCATCAACTTTCCTGCTTCAGAGATGAGCTTCTCTTCTTTCTCTACCTCTACCAGCGAAGGTACGATGACCCAAAAATAATACCACAGTCCCAAACACACATGGAGCAAAAACACTCACTGGCCTCTTTATTAGTTACACTTTGCTATTAAGTTGTTTTACCCTCTTTTTCCTTCAGAACTGTCTAAATTCTTTATGGCACAAATTCATTAAGTGCTGGGAACATTAATGTGATATTTCAGTCAATATTGATATGATAGCACCACAGATTTGCTGCAGATATGTCAGCTGCACATCCTTGATGTGAATCTCCCATTCCACCACAACCCAGTATATATATATTGAGTATATTGTAGGTACTCCAGTACAGCTGCTTTGCTGATTGTATGTCACAAATACAGATAATCAACACGACATTCAAATACTACAACAATATGCATACTTATATTCAAGATAATCCCAGTGACTTTAAGTTGTATTATTTTCAAGTACAAGCCATATTCTGACATTTTAGACACTCTTGAGCCTTTCTTCTTTTCTGTTTGTGTAAATCCATACTCACAAATCAATTTGTATTTCCAACATAACAGCAGTACTCTCTTGCTTTTGTCTCACTCATGTCTGCACCAGCCGTTTCGCCTCCAAACCCAGAAAACGAGAGCCCGTCCCTCACACCAAGAAAGTGAAGACTCAGTGAGGAGAGGACAAGCTCATCTTTTCAGAACTCAAAAGATCAGCTCAAAAAAAACAAAACAGAAGTGAACTAATGAGCCTTGGGGATGTAAAACAGAGACACAGGCAGGACACATGCCCACATGTGTGCCACAGCAGCTCCTGACCGATTCAGACTCTGCACTGCTGCATATTCGCGGCGCTGCTGCTGCTTTTTGCTTGGCATTGATGAAGCTTCCCCTTGACTGCTGCTTTGACTCGGCTCCTTCATCTATCAACATCTCTGCTGTACATTTTATGCTGGGTGACCTTTCACAAATGATTTCTGCAGCATCACATCAGCGCTTGTAACGTGGATTTATTTGCCGGATCCTTCTCTTTATACAAACACGAGGGAGCTGGAGTGTTTGGGTACGCTGCGAAGGATTAATCCTTCAACTCGGTGATTCAACAATTAGTCTTTCTGTCACTGAGCTTCACATGATTCACAGTTCAGAAGAATCCTTATGCATCTTGCAGGGACACATTGTCCCACATCAGCTCAATTTTAATCTCAAACAGGTTATTTTAGCCTTTTATCTCTCCTCATTAAAAGCCAACTTTCTGCAGAATGCAGTGCCTGTTAACCCCGCCTCATATGCCATCGGAGAAAGTCCCTGCCAGCTGGGCTGCTAGGAGGCACCAATTCTGGAAACATATTAATCAGACTACATAATGCAGCTTCAATCACAATATGGAAACAATGGGGTAAAATACAGAGAACTGGATCATTTAAACTGCTACACGGTGAGATGTGGACTTCTTTTTGCACATTTTTCCATAAACTAAACATTATTTTCCTTATCAACACACAATCTATCTTTATAACAACGATGAGAAGAATCGATCTGCAATGTTTGGCTATTTTTTATTTGAAGCATGATGCTGTGTTTTAGCCACACCCTGGATGCTGATTGGTCTGTGTTAGAGGTCAAGTCCAATACATCATAGGGCACTCTAAGTCACCTCCAGTGATGCTTCTTTTGTTCATCTTAAATGGCATGAGATAAAGTCTTCCTATTCACTATCAAGTTGTACATGCCGAGTTAGTTTTCCTGTCAGTTTACTGCAAACCGATTTGAAAAAGACTATCTTTGCCAAATTAGCACATAAAAAGAAATATAAAAGATAAAAGCATACAGCACATCTGCTTCATTAAAAGACGTCTATTCCTTCTCACACGGCACTGTCAGTCCATCTGAAGCTTTTTACTGTGCTCGCAGGCCCGCTGCATTAAACTCAGTGCTGATTTCTGACTGAACTGCTCGAACACAAACATTTACTTCAAAATTGCTGTTTTTTATGTTTTAGTAATGCACTCTGCCTGTTCATTGTTTTGTTTTGTTTCAAATAAACTGGAATTGTAAATGTAAATTGACTGATTAAGCCCTTTAATCGCCACTATCAATGTTACACATACATGCAGTAAAATAGGACCCCTTTCGACCGTACTTACATTGCACAAACATGACGTTGGTAAGACAGGTCAGAGTGAGGAAGGATGGTAAGAAAAACAATGAAATACACACTATATGAGGGAAGAGGAGGGGAAAAAAGAACTCCACCCACACTGAGCTCCTAATGGGAGAGCATTTTGAGAACAGGAAAAAAAACACTCAGCACAATGAACCACATGAATCTTCACACCTTACATTATGAAAAACAAAACACGGGACTGTATATCTGTGTCTGAGTACATGTTGAGTTGTAGTTCTCCAGCCCTTCTGAAGCTCTTCACTGCTTTTTTACTCGCCTTCAGTCCAGTCCTTGTTCCTGACCATTTTCAAGCCACTCAACACACGATTATGAACACAGAAAGGTACCATCAGATTTTGATCCACTATGTAATACCATCTGGAAACCATCTGATTGGCAACATCTTCATTGTTCGTCATGATGATGATTCCAAACACACTGTTAATGCAGTAAAAACATACCTGATAGAAAAACCCACAGTGAAACACCCGAACTGCAACATCATTGAAGCAGCGTGGAATCATTTTGACAGAGAATAGAACAAAAGGCAGCCAACAGCCAAAGAAGAGCTCTGTAGGTCCTATATTATGTTTCATCGTTATACCTATTAAATGTAAAGAAATCATAGCAGTACTGCATATTTTTAGCTTTATTAAATAAAATCCACAGGAATACTAGTGTACTGTTTTTCCTTAGTGGTAAGAACTCATATGTTTATAGATTAAACTTTGAAAGAGCAGGATTTAGAAGAAAGCCAAAAAATTGTGGGTAATGTATTCTGAACGATGCACTGTTTCTAAAATTGTGGTTTCAATGTAACCACACCTTCACTCATTAACTTATTAGGAGCTTATATTTACATTAGGTTGTTTCAACCGTTTCTCCTTTTCTATAGTTTGATAGAGGTGATTGTTCGAGAGAAATGAGAGTTTCCTCTTGGTGAAGGAAAAAAAGCCAACAAATCCTCAGACTGTACTTAAATTATGCCTCAGCCAGCAGAGACAAAGTTTCACTGCCTGACGTTAAGTTGGTGTCTGTGATTAACAAGAGAAAGATAAAGAAGATAAACAGAGCAAGTATCTGTGAAACCAGCAAAAACACCAACCCTAACCCACATAGCAACAAACAGTAACTTTTATTAAATGCTTCCTGTTTCATGTAATGATGGTGTTAATGTGGGTGGAACAGTTTCACCACACACACACACTTTTTGGCACGACAGCTTTAACTGCAGACTGCAAACATTCCGGTCGGGAACAGTTCAACACCAGTTAGGAAGATGCTGCTTGTGCTTGGGATCTTCTTCCTGCTCTTTTCTCCAGGTACGTAATAAACATCTGACTGCTCGAACTGTAGGTCAAAGGTCATGGGAAAAAAATTTTTTTTTTCAAAGTCAGGGTGACAGTTCAGTAAATCTGAAAAATACATATACATATATACTGAAATTGCCAGAATGACAAATAACTTACGAGCGTGCAGTGATGAGTTTCAAGCCTTCTCCTTATGAAAAACAAGTATCTCACGCTGTCGTTTCCAGACGTCTGTTTTTTCTCCGTCGACAATGTCACCTTTACCCAGAAATAAGAGGTTTGTAATCAGGTTGGCCGGCTGTGTTGCTGAAGGACATGTGGTAAATATCAGTGTTAGTCTCCGCTGATTTATCTTGATTAATAATTCACTAGTTTCAGACGTTTAACTCTAATGCCCTTCACCATTTCATTCCCACAGCAGGTTTATGGATTAACACCAGAACCGTACTCAACTGCCCTTCACAGTAACGCCTGATTGACAGAAACATTACTAGTCCTCAAACCAGTAGAAAAAGAAATCTGCCTTTCAATCAAGTTTCAGTTTTTGTTGTTCCTCACATCTGCAGCGCTGCCACTGAAGTGCTACGTGTGCAGCTCATCGGCAACCAATGAAGAATGCAACCAGAGTACCCAGGAGTGTAAAACACCTCTCAACACATGCATGACTGTCGTCGACACTTTCGGTAATTTATCTCACAACATCAACGTGCAATCAAGAAACCTGACAGAGGTTTAGTAGCACGTATAAATGAATCTAAACATTCTTCTAAAGTTCCTTTGTGCAGTAGGATTTTTATGAAGGGCACTTACTTATTAAACTCAGCTCTTGGTCAGTCTCAGTGTAGAAACTATAATCCCTGCTGTTTGTCTGTGTGCTGCTCAGATACAGCGACAGCCATAACAAAGCAGTGTGCCAGCCAGGCCACGTGCAGAGGAGCTGCCTCCACCGCCTCAGTCGACTCCAACGGAAACGGGAACGCCGTCAGCTGCTGCAGCAGCTATGACTTGTGTAACTTCAGCAAAGCCGACTCCATCAACAGAAACAACAAACTGCTGCTCCTGACTGTCGGTGTGGGATTTCTGCTGTCACGCTGAGCTCAGTGGGATGCGCAAACCGTACAAACTGCACCGCTACAGTCTCCGCACTACCTGCAATCTTATGCATCTTGTAAATACTGTTTATATTCGAAGCTGTTTAACAAAAAGCTTTTAAAATATCACTGTGTACTCCACATGCACAATTAGATATCGTAGGATTTATAATACTGACAGACAGGGCTAGTTGTTACACGTTAAAGGGTTCAAAAATTGACTTTAGCTTTTAATTCCACAAAAGGTAAAGGCAGTAAGCTTATATTAGCTTAATCTGACAGAAATCTGTGGATTTCTGGTTTTCCTGGATATTTGATCGTCAAAAATGTCTATTATGCTCAAGAAATGACGGCCCAGTTAAAAAAATGAATGAATATAGACATTAGTTGCTTAAAATGTTTATGATTTTCCTTAGTTTACTGTAGTTTCATTTTAATTGAGAGAGAGAGACAGAACAAGAAAATAAATATATTGATTTGCATGTCAGTGAGTGAAAGTATTTGATCCTAAAACATGACTTAGTACTTGATGGAGAAACCCATGTTGGCTGCACAGTGGTAAGATGTTTCTTGTAGTTGGTCACCAGGTTTGGACACATCTCAGGAGGGATTTTGGTCAGGCGGATGCCTGAGAGCTCATTTTGGTTTCATCTGACCAAAGCTTTTTCTCCCAGGGCTTCTCTGAATCATGTAGATGTTCACTGGTTGGTACATGCACCTTCCAGAGCAGGGATCTTTCAGGTGCTGTAAGATTTCAGCCATTTCCACCATCATATCTCCACTGAAACTTCAGCAGCCCATCCTTAACACTAAAATCCATGCTTGTGCAAGCAACAGCATTGTTGTACAACAGGTTATTATTGTTATATACAGTGCAATGTGTCCTTTCTTATTGTGAGAAAGTCTAATTCTCTTCTTTATGATTTTCTGAATGCTCTTTAAAAACATCTACGCCAACATTAACTTGAAATTATAAATATTAATCCTAAAAGGCACTTTAAATAAATCCCAATCAACTACAAAGTGGACAGACTTATTTCATTTCATAATTATTTTTATTCCATTGTTTTTTTGTTTCCTCCTATTTGACAAGATGGCTTAATTAGCCCAGAAGACAAAATAAATACCAGTGTTTACTAGTACGAGTTCTGTACAATTCACCAGTGATACACACCAGTATAGCTTACAATATACCAACATGAGCAGATTTACGCAACAACAAGGAAATAAAATAGATTGTTTCGTTTGGGGTCTTTTTCTCCTCCGTTTTACATTTATTTTATCCCTATAACACCCAGATTGATCGATCTGATAGTTTCGTTGCTGGCTAAACATGGAAATCACATCTGGATAAAACGGGTTTAAAAAATAATAATAATAATAATAAAAAACAAACAAACAAGAAACAAAAAAGGAAACAACTTAGGATGTGTTATTTTGGTGCTGTGCAAATATGCTCTTCTTTATACCAGTATATCATGCTATACCAGTACAGTCACCAGTATATTTCATATAGCAGTATGTGACACTCCACATGGGGTCAGTATTAACAAAGACAAATGTGATTTTCAGTTCAGTGTTTTGTGTCTGAGAAACAAGTTCCAGTCATGTGGCTCCACATTTCATGTGTTTGGTTCCATGGGGACTATTATTAAGTCAGGGAGGGGGGGAATTTTTAAAGTGTTACACCTGACAAGAGAATTGGAGTCATAAATGTGATATGAGGTTTGTTCAGGTCCCCGGGAAATATACTTTAAGTGTCACTAGTGGGTGATCGGACAGTTAATGTAATCTTATATTATGAACGTACGATTCATATTGGGACTATATGTGAGGAGACAAAAAAAGGAAAAGGAGACACGAACCTCACAAAATTAGCGACCACTCTGAGACGTGTCACTGTCTTCTTCCTCGTGAACCAATCGGAAGCATCCTGCCACTCACGCTGAACACATTTTTTCCAATTCTTTTTTTTTTTTTTTTACACAGCAGTCAATTGCTGGGGTTGAAAGTTCAACATTTTTCAGTATAGAGGACGAAGATTCCTCAAAACAACACAAAAAACATGGAGCTGATCGATAAAAAGAGCAGACTGAACTGAGTGCGAGTAGGGGAGGTTTCTGTCTGCGGTGATTACCCGCACAGAGCTGGACTCTTCACATTTGGAGTCTTTAAAAGTGGCTCAGAGAGGAGCTGAGGAAGACTGTGGGAGTAGGGGAGCAGTAAGGGTGAAGGAAAGGAAAAGTGAGTGAAATAGAGAGAAGAGGGGAAGAGAGTGTTTTCTTTCCTCAGGCAGTAGAGTGTTACTAGACTGTCCTCGAGGCGTATTCTGCTTTTTTACGTTCCTGCCTCTGTTTCCTCCTCTGCAATTTGAGTCTATAAATAAAACATGGTGAGATGGAGGAAACAGAGAAAGAGAGATGGTAGGAGGCATGACGAGTCGGAGAAGACCAAACCGAGACTGTTGTTACTGTACCACCCCAGGCACCAAAAAAACAAAACATAACAAACATGTGATGTGTATGGCGATGTAGAGATATTTGATTGGAGAAAGGAGCTCCCATTCAGGAATCGGAACGTCAGCAAACGGGGGCGGCCGACGTCTAAGATCCCACAGTGAAGTTTCATGCAGATATGTTGCAGATCGGGTTGCAATCCGCCCGATCTCACCAGCTTTCATGATAGCGTTTCTGTCGGAAGTTTTGAATCCATTTAAAACTCTAACCTGCAGAATCTGGCTCATCCCAAATCCAGATTTACAGCTTAAAAAAAAAAAAAAAAAAAAAATCACGAGTAGATTTCTTTCTTCCTCCTCTCGTCACTGTATTCCACTCTGAAGAGAGCGAAGCTGCCAAGTCCCTGATTCAGGAAGTGTTTCTGCGCTGTTCTCGTATACAGAAAGTCACAGTGGTGGAGATTTTAATCCCAGTTGAACTAATTACCTCGGCTATAGCGGGATTAAAAAATTCTAACGATTCATCGCGGACCATTATCAGATTATCAGAGCCACTGCTCTCGCCGTTGATTTGTAAAGCAGCCCCCTCCGTCAACACATCAGGACTGACGTCTGGAACCCAGGAGTCTTTAGAAGTCACGATGATGCCACCCTCTCCTGTTGGTCAGCTCGGACGACATGGGGCTAGTGTGGGCGGGACTGGGCCATCATCTTGAGCCGGGATTGGTCGATAACATCCAGCAAGTTCTTGGCATCAACAGCAAGAGCATGAGCCGCCGTCAACATCTGCTTCTTGTAGTCCTGCTGGAGGCTTGGAGCATCAATACAGAATATATGCAAGATCAGAGTTTTAATAGTTAGTGCAGTATTAATGATCATATGTGCAGACGTGACAGCATCAAGAACGTGAGCATGACACACACTCTCACTGGCCACTTTATCAGGCACATCTGTTCAACCTACTTGTTAGTGCAAATATCTAATCATCCAATCACATGACAGAAACTCAGTGCACTTAGGCTCATTAGTACCAACTAGAGATGGCACGATACCACTTTTTATGTCCGATACCGATACCGATATCATAAATTTGGATATCTGCTGATACCGATATGAATCCGATATAATGTTTTTTAATCAACAAAACTGTTTTTTAAATATCTTGCTGCATTTTGTATAAGTTCATACTCAAGTTTAAAACAACAACTACACTAAAGCTATTCTGTTATACCTGTATGCAAAAAAAATATTTCATAGTTCAGCAATACTGATCAATCTAATAAACTTAAACCTACACCATCCTCCCTATTCTGGTATTTTAAAGAGTACTTATTAAGCAACCTAACTAATAGGGTTCCAACTCCCAGCAACAACAAAAATAAATAAATAAATAAAAAATAGGGAACCACCCCTCACGCTCCACCTCATGATGCTTAATCGACGTAATCAACCTTAATTTGATGCAGTGTGAAAAAAAAATGCACAGAAATCAATTATTTTTCAAGAAATATTAAATAGATTCAACATCTTTCTTCAACAAAATTGCAGACTGCACAGATGGTACCTTCCCAAAGGAAAAAGTACTATAGCTTACTAGGGTATATATATTAGACTTAACAGTTACCATATGCAGTAATGGACTTCTATACATTTTACATCAGATTAAAACTTTGGGTGTAAGATTCAGATAAATATTAAATAATTAAAAGCTCAACATTTTAAATGAGAATAAGAAAGAAAAGTATGTCTTTGTGCCCCCTTTTCCCTGTTAATGCCCTATCGGCCCCCCTGGCTAAACTTTGCTAGATCCGCCCCTGCACAGTTACCAGCGTCAGCTACGTAGAAAAAGATCCTGGTGTAGAAAGTAATATTAAATAAATTCTAACAACAGCTGATCAAGCTTAAATGTGCTGCTGTTGTTCAGCCGCTGGTTTCCTCTTTCTGGTGCAAAGTGGGCCAAAAACAAACAAGAGACACGGACTTGCGACAGAAAAGCCGATCAGCAGTTTCATGATTGAAGTAGCAGCCGGAGAGCGAGAGGCAGTCGCTCGTTAAGCTTAACGCAGGAATGCTTTACAAACATTCAGAGATGGACTTACACACTTGCTTTACTTCTCTCGGGGATAACTTTGTCGGAGATGAAATGCCAGGTTGCTAGCGAAGCTCCAAATGCTATCCAGACCACTGACAGGTCCCGCATGCCACAGCCGCTCTATCACGTGATGCATACTGCTCCGACGTGCTAACGTTCTGAGGTGAGTTAGGGCGTGTTGCAAGTTTTGTGAGGTGCTTTCGTGATATTTAATGGATCGGATTACATTTTTTATTTTTCTCCGATATCCGATCCAGTAATTTAGGTCAGTATCGGACAGATACCGATACGTAATATCGGATCGGTCCATCTCTAGTACCAACTGAGCATTTTTTAAATGGCATAGCCCACCTAAGTGGCAGCATAATGCACCAAGTCACAAAGCTCAGATCCAGTTTGAGATGACTTCACTGTACTCAAATGACGTTCACAATCACAGTCTTAGTCCACTTTTGTAATGTGGTAGAAAAGCAGATTCACATCATGGATGCACAGCTGACAAACCTGCAGCAGCTGTGTAATGCTGTCATGTCACTAAGGACCAAAACCTCTGAGCAATGTTTCCAGAATTAAGGTAGGTAAGGTTTACCTAACAAAGTGATGCTTTTAGTTTGTGCACCTACCTGGTCATCACATATTGTTGGGCTAACTTCATCTTTGCAATCAGTTCTGCCAAGTCAGAGTTCAGCAGCTTCTGTGCCATCTCGATCTGGTGAAGAAAAGCGTAACCGTATAAAATAAAATACAAGCTGGAGCAGCTGTGTGATCAATAATGTGCTTTAACGTGATTTATTAACAATCATTAAACTGTTTAATAACATAAAGTGAATGCTTGTTAGTAAAAACGGTGTCTACCTCTCTGTGTGTACTGGCTGGAAGTTGAGGTAGAGTCTCATCTACTGTGGCCAATAATGTCCTCAGTGCCAGACCCACATCCTGAAACACATTTTTTTCACAACAGGACAGCTTACATGTGGTATCAATAATTCACATAGTTTGTTTTAAATAGTCTAAAATCTGAAATTTCTAATAGAGAAGACAGAAACGACACAGTGCTGTATTCCCTTCTTAAGGTTAGCAGCTTGGCTAAACATTCTGGAGTTAGGGATGAACACTCCAATGTTAGCTGTACGGGCTGTTTGCCCTGCTCTTCCCTTTCTACCAACGTGAAAAAACCCTTTGGAGAAATAAAATGAAATGTATTTTTGTCAAAAAGACTCACAGGAAAACTAATTATTAAATCCCTTTGGTGAAAAGCTGCTTAGGCTATCTGCAGAGTCAGGTTAATATATGAAGCAAAAATTATTCATGAAGGAGCAGAAGAAGTGTCGAAATTCCGTCCTTGGAAAGCTGCACCGGCCAATTAAACTGAAACAGTGCGTCACAGTGCTCAAGGACACAGCGGTTATTAAACTGCACAGAGCTGCTTTGATCTACTGTGCTGAGTTTTTAGCTCAAAGCCTGCAGCTCCACTTCAGAGAAATAACAAACTGCCGTTTGTGCCTCTGTTACCTTGACCATGGGCACGTACTCCTCGGGTGGAGCCGGCTGGATCTTGCTTGACATCTCGATCACAGCTTTGACCAATCCCGTCACGTTCTCGTACACTTTGTCGTTTGACCGATCCAGATTGGCGGTGGGAGGCGGGCTTATCTCCTGAGGCTGCAGCTAAACCACAGAAGAAGACAAAAAGCAGTGAGTGAGAGGTTCTTTGAGTGAATGTGTACCTGGGAAAGAAGTGTGGGAGACTGATGACAAAAACCAGCTGAAACAGTGTGGATGAAAAAACAAAACATTTGTTAAAACATTTACCTCCACAAATCCTGCTAGATTGTAAAGACGTTCATCCGCCTTACACACTAGATACATTTAAAGGTCCAAAGTAAAGTAATAATAATCAAGAGAGTTAAACAAGTAGATTAATGAGTGAATTAATATCTACTATGTTTCTACTTATGTTAAGTACATCTGATATACCCATGTTGTGATGCCATTGTTTTGCGACATGGAAACACCATCACACCATCGACCCTAACCATAACACCGTAACCATAGCCATAGCCCTAACCCTGACCCTCTCCACCCACTTATTTGCACTTTTTCCTGAGTGGACATCAGCAAGTCTTGTTTCCATGTCGACGATGACATCATAACAACATCATAACATTGATTTGTCACTTGCAATGTTGAACCTGGGCCAACATTAATTATGATGATCCAGGAACAACACTATGTCTAAATGTAGAGGTATTCTCTGGCCACTAGATGGCAGTGTCACACTACCATAACCTGTGCCGTAAACCTATCAGTTGAGGATTTTAATTGAATACAGATTCCCCGTAGGAGGTCACATCTTCCTGAACCTGCCATATAAACCAATCATCATCTTGCACTAACATAAAGCGCTTTCTCATTTCTGTCTTTCCATTTTCTTCACCATCTCTCTTGCTCAGTGACATCACCTGACTACTACCTGCAGGTATACTTCCCACATCTTGAATACAAAGACTTTCTCTCGCCCGCAGTCATGCATGCATGCATGTATAAACTCTAATCCTCTTTGCAATTTCACTTCATTTTGCACATTTTTTCTGCATTCCCCTTCACGCCCTCGCTTTTCCAGTCCTTACTGAATTCTGGGTAATCAGTAAATCACCGCCTACAGTGAAAACAATACAACGCTGTGCACACAATGACCTACTGAAACCACTTGAAGCATTTATCTAGAAAAAATAAGCATTTGAAAACTAGCTGCTTTATAATCTGTAAAAAATATGACCCTATTTTACTAGGATGAGGAAAACCTTTTAATTCTTAACCGGGGAAGAAAAAAAAGATTAAATCTTATTAAAGACTCACTTGTCTACTAATTACAAAGAGAAGCATATAATTAGTGCTCAAGTAAATAAAAAAAAAAATCTATAAAAGTTAAAAGCACTTAGATCTGAGAAAAGGAGAGAAGACAATATAAGCAGGAAAACAGACAAGGGGAAGTGCAGAGATGAAGTTAATACTACAACAGAATGTGATTTGTTGGACAAAGAAATCAAAGGGCTGATGGAGGAGTAGGACAACAATATGGAACAGGAGACAAGACGCACAGTAAACACACACAGACGGTGTGCTGCTTACCCGCCAGGGCTAGGGGTCAACAGTAAGGCAGAGTGCCGGAGAAGAATGGGGGTGAGGGGGAGGGGAGAGAGAGAGAGAGCCGGAGCAGCCAAAGGAAAGAAGATACAAGGGTAAATATTAATGCTCCAAGCATTCAAAACATGCACTGTGTCCACTCGGTAAATGTGTCCCTCCATGTGCTACTGGAGGAGCATTTCATTCATTCATTCATTCAGTGTGTATTTCTGCTTGTACTTTTGCTTCATGCATTCATGCACGTGTGTGTGTGTACCTTGACTCCATCATTGTAACTGTCTCCAGTATTTAGACAGGCCAGGCTGCTTACTTGGCACTGGGCCCCAGGTCGAGGGGGTTTCTTTGGCGGGGCCACATGCTCTGCAGGAAACAACATACGACAACGTGTGAAGTACAAAAATATTTCTACTCACAATTTATTCCTAAGAAGTGTGGGCAGATGCTTACTTTGGTTTCGCAGCAGCTCAGATTATAACACAGATTATAATTAACTCCAGGCTAATTTTTGCCAAACAAAGCGTCACCTCGTAAGATTTGGTTTTTATTTGAATTGTATCTATGCTTTCTACTTCTTTTCACACCTTTTAGCCTCTTTTTCTCTTCTGCATTTGATGATGTTCTGTAAAGAACATTCAATTGCAAAGTGGTATTAAAATTGTCGTATGAATAAAGTTTTGATTGATTTATAAAGTCTCCCACAAACTGTTTCAAGTATGAAACGTCTCTCTTCCTCTACATTAGTATCTATCAGGAATCAGGAAACATTAAATGGACAAAAACGATATTCCATCCTGGAAAATCATCCCCCAGCTGGCTACTATATGTTTCTGTTTTCTCTGTATATTAACGCTCTGAGCACTGAACATACTGAACATGACATGCTGTTTGAGTCCATATAACCAGAGGTTGGTGTTCTCACTAGCAGGCCAGCAGGTTCACAGCTGGATCTGTCTTACTGTGACCACAGACTAAACCCTGCAGACAGACGCTGACCTCAGAGATACACAGCGTGCTACACTGTGTGATGGTATATGTGTAAGTTACACATCTTGGGAGAAAGAGAAGACAGCATATAACAATAGTGGTTGCCCTCCTGTAATTGTGGCGGAGTTGAGGCCCCATCTATTACCTGGTTTGCCAACGGGCTGGTATATGTGCTGGTTTCCTGTCTGCGCAAACAAACAAACAACAAAACAAAGCACTGGGTTAGCGATTGCACAGACGCAGACATAATCAGAAGCTTTGCAGGAAATTAGAACTTCACAGCTTTAAACCACCAGCGGCCTCAGCACAGAATCCAATTTACTTTGTCATGTGACACCGAGCCTCAGCTCGCACACAGCTAGCTCACAGTCATTTGCGGCAGAGGAGCTGTGCCTGTTATTTTGTGCTGTGTGGTCCTGCGTTGGGTAACTTATGGTAACAAAAATATTCTGTTTGTTTTGTCATCCTCTTCCTGTCAAAGTGTTTCTTTTGTTAGAGCTAGCATTTTAAAACTGCAGCATGTTTACATGATGTGATGGTTGTAAGAACAAAATGCCAGGAATGTTACATATTTAAATTTATTGTATTTTTACTGCATCCCTGTTGTTTTGTGTGTGTGAGAAAACAGCACAGAAGGACTCAAAAGCCATGGTGCCATCATTGTGTTGTGGTCTGACAACCACCAACACCCAAAAATACTCCACCAAGGCACACACACACACACACACACACACACACACACACACACACACACACACACACACACACACACACACACACACACACACACACACACACACACACACACGAACGAGGGAGATTTTCCCACCACAAACCACAACCATTCAATGGGAGGAGGAGGAGGACAAGCAGTGAGATGAATTACAGAGACGGAAATATCTAACTCATGGCAACTTCAGACTGCTGAAACAACTTCTGCTGGCATTGGGGAAATAACATCAACATGCAACTCTGCGTTCAGCTGCAGAGATTCCAGCTTTGGGATACAGTTACACACACGCACACACACACTAGATATTACAACAGGAGGAAAGGGGAGAAGTTGCAAGATGCAAATATCTCAGCAACTCTGTGTTTTGTGTGCAACCAAAGGGCTGCCAGCAGTGCCCAGATCTTACATCCTTTACCAGTAACGTTGCTTCTCACACTCTGAAGTATTTATTTACAGATGGACAATCACTAAAATCGGCCACCAGGACACTCTGGGACTGAGTGCAAAACCCTTCCATTAATATTCAGTTTGTGAGAAACTGCTGACCCCACATTGCTGACTTTACCCTCAACAGGTCACTTCCTGTCCCTGAATCAGTCAGTTGAAAAGAAAACAAACACACGCCGCAGCAGTGAGTCTGACCATAACACGGACGTCCGTCAACATTCGTCTTCATCAGACATCCTCCGTGGTTAAAAACACAAACACTTCAGGAAAATAACTTCCCATTCATAAAGTGGCGGGGACAGCAAATTGGACAAGATTTGGACAGTGAAAGTTTAGAAAGAAAGAAACAGAGACAGTTCAACTCGCACCTGTAGGAATGTTTGTGAGTTATTGTCCTGATGTGAATGGGTATAACTAATTAATGAGAAACAAGAAGAAGGAACTTACCGGTGGCTGGAGTCCACTGTCTTCTCTGTCCAGACTACCTCTTGAACTTCTCGTGTCGGGTTTCTAAGCAATCACAAACAATCAAACATTACATCTCCATTTACCAAATCCATATACATATACTTCGATTTGCAGTAGGGATTTTTTCAAATAATCCAAATGTTTCACAAAAAAAAGAGATAGACTTCATGGATAAATGATGAAGCTGTGGCAGAAAAAAAAAGCACAACTGTCCAAACACAAAACCTCCTATGAAGACTGGAACGCAGGATACACAAAGGTGTAGTGTCCAAAAGGCTTTTTTGGATCCTCCACACAAAGTTAACTTAAGAAAAATGTTTCTATTGGTGCTGCCATGCAAACCGAAATAAAACCACACACAAAACAACCACAAAGTCCCACTCATTGCCCTCTCTGACACACACATATCCACTCATACCAGCTTTCCAAGACAGGACTTGAAGACCAGCATCGCCGCAGAGTTCATCAAAGAAGCCTGATGTGTGAACCGTTCGTGTGAGGCGTTTAGTCTCTGCTGTTATCTCGGGATCTTTCCAGTATCTCGCACTGTACCCTCTGTTACTGTCTGGTTTTCTCTGTAACCTTGTCAGTGCTGCAAGTTTCATCCAGAGAAGACTTCAGATTCAACTCCAGCCTCCACCACTCTTATGTCTGACGGTGACGCACAGAGAGAGGGAAGGAGAGGAGGAGGGAAGAAGCACGCTGCCAACAAGCTGTCAGTATGCGAGCGTGTCTACCCTTCTTTCCCAAAACCTCCTGCCTTTCTCCTCCCTTTCTTTCCCACCCCTTTCTAGTCCCTCGCTCAAGTGACAGTCTTATAAAAACCAGGCAGCCTATAAGAAACACCCCCCACCCACCCCTACACACACACTTTATACCTCCCCATCTTTTCAGTAATCTCGCGTGTTGTCATTTAGTGGTTGTGGGTCAAAGACAGACTGTTGACTGGGCTGTCAGATTCTGTAAGCCTATCATTAGCCTGGAATTTGCACAGGCCACACCTGCCTACAAACTCACTCTCTCTTACATGCACGCACACAAACACGCACTATAAAAGTCTTAAGCAAAAAACAAAAAAACCCAGACAGTTCCTTAATTCTGTGTTCACAGAAAAGTGCATCCTACATTAAAAAAAACCCTCTTTGCCAACCTCTTCTTGTCATGTCAAACCCTGCGCTCACTCATCTTCGTCTGGATGAGTCTTACCAGAAGAACTGAGTGGTATCCAGCTACCCATTACTAACAATCAGAGGAGACACGTTTTCTTCTTTGTAAATTCCAAACCAGAAAGTGACTCACAGGAAGTATAGATTAACTTTTTTTTTTAAACTGTGAAGACATGGACGTTATTGTCCACACACTTCACCCATATATGTCAGCACATGCTATGAATGAACACAATTGATGAGACTTATGTGATGCTTATGCATATCCTGTGCAAAAAAGCAAAGTGTAATTAATCTACATTTGCACATTGCTGCAGTGCCGAGGCTTCAGCAGCATGGTATTAAGGAGGAATGTAAGTTGATGAAATACTGCACAGTAACTGTTTAACAGGTCATTGTAAAACTCTTTTGAAGACGACAGTCATTTTTATAACCACATAGGAACTAGACTTTTGGAGGCATCCTAACTGATTCTTTCTCTAACCAGCACTGACTGCAGCACATCAGAGCAGGGTCACTGTAATAGCAGCCTTAAGGTTTCTAGCTCAAAGACGCCGCAGCAGACAACTCAAACTGCAGTGCTGTTAAAAAAAAATATAATCAGCTTGACACCACTGACACCTTCACCTCAAACTTCAAATGTCTGTGGCTGAATTCAGGCTGCAGAGAAAAGGGTTTCAACTCTGTTTTTCCCCCTTTTGCTCTTATGCGACTCTTAGTGAACTTTTTTTTATTACAATGTGAACAACACAAATCACATTTGACATCTAATATTCTCACGTAGCAGATTTTCATTTTTCCCACTTCTGTGTGTGGTTGTAAATCATATACAGGTCAGATTTTTCAGGAGTGTGACCACGTCACAGCGAAATCGAATACAGCTCATTTCCCATCACAGCTACGAGACTTCAGTAACTTCAAGGCAATATCAAACACGCTTCTGCACTTCTTAATGAGCATTTCCATTAAATTCCTTTCAGTATCTGGTGGCATTTTCTCACTTTGCAGCATTTTATTTGTCTTCGTGTTGCATACGTGCTAGGAAATTAGCGAGAATGGTTTCCTGTTGGTTTGATTCGCTTGTGTTTTCTTAAGTTGCAATGCACTGAGCTCTCAGGACCACGGTAAAAACACACATTTAAGTGCAATAGTGTTTTCAAATCAAATAATTTAAGAGCTTAAGTATATTTATGTGTGTTGACACAATGATAAACTTTTTAAAAAATGAGTCCAAACTAAGTGATTACACTTTCTGAATACGGAATTACGACAGCATGCAAAAAGACGGCAACTAAACAAGACATCTTTTCCTTACAGTGAGCACTGACACAATGCACCATACACAACCTCTCAGAAAAGCACAAAATAAATCCAACAAGAACACGTCAAACTTCCTTAAATGTAGCTGCTTTTCCTTTATTGCTGCAAAGAGGCATGTTCAGGGCTGCACAAATGCGCTAGTCTTTAGACATTTTTGTTTACCCCACACAGCTGCTTAAATCTAGCCAACCATACAGAAGCAAGACAAAGTAAATCTCAATTAAATGCACTGTGACAGCATCCGTAGTGTGCATGTGTCAGTTGTGCATGGGTGTGCTTTACCAGCAGCCTTTCCTCCTGCTCCAGCCACCTCTGATCCTCCTCCATCTGCTGCTGTTGTATGATCAGCTGTTCCTCCATTAACAGGCACTGCTGGCCTACACACTGCTGCATGTCTACTGCCCTGTCCTACACACACACATACACACACACAAACGTGCAACAGAAAGTCAAGCATAGCATAACAGACATGCACACCAGCACGGGGACACACAGCCAGACATGGAGATGAACACACATATACACCAGACTGATGAGAGGCTGAACTGAGGTGGTGGACGCAAATACTAAAAACAACTGAGGTGTCAGGGGGGTGTTTCTGTGAAAAAAAACTGGTGTGGAAACTGGAAAACTTTTGCAACCCATTAAAAAAAACAACAACAGTGTGACTGGTGTGTAACTGCCTCCACAGAAGAAACAATATGTTTGTCACACTTGAAAAGATGATTCGTGGCCACTAGTAGAGTTTCAGGTTGTCTAGGTAACCTTTTAATGTATTTATTAGCCTGTCAGGTGTTAATCAATGGTATCCTGTCCTCTCAGTGATTTCCACTTCAATTGCTTTTTTATTTTGGGACTCGCTTTACACTGAAAGCAGAGTTTTCTTGAAGTTGCTGAATTTGAATGCCTTTCTATGACCTCTGGTCACATGACTGCGTTTCACTTATTGTATACATGTAGCGTAACAGCCAGTGACCACAACCAACAAACAGCACAAAACTCACATCACAGCTTAAAATGCTTCTTTCCCTCAGCTATGAGACCACTGAACTCTCAAGGGGATAATTAGATGAATTTTTCTATGACTGTTGATTTTTGGACAAATGTCCTTGTTATTCTATTTGTTTATTATATAGGTTTTTTTGTTTTTTGACATCATAGTTTGCTAATTTGTGCCTGCGTCACATCTTAGTTGAGTTTGCAACTAAATTTCCCTTTTTGTGTATTAATAAAGTTGTCTGAGTCTGATTTCAGAGTGAGTGAGTGAGTGAGTGAGTGAGTGAGTGAGTGAGTGAGTGAGTGAGTGTGTGTGTGTGTGCGCGCATGTCTATAAGAGTGAAATTAGAGTCCTACCTCCATCATAGAGCCCCACAGCGCCATATCCTGTCCGTGAGGCTGGGGAAGGAGCTGTGCGTGTGAATGGGTGTGGACATGGTGGCGGGGGTGTGTGTGTGCGTGGTGGGTGTCCAGCATTGCCGCCTGAGGTGGGTACAAGGCGCTAGGCACAGAGGGGAGTGTGTGAGGGCCTGGATAGCCTGCCATCTGAAACCGAAGTGAAGACAGGGACAGAGACACAAGGTTGTCCTTAATGTTTTGATTCTGAAAAATCTCAAGACGTTGATGCAATTATAGCAAGTACACATGCAGTGACAGAGCTGTTGAGTTCGTCTACATACCTGATAGTGTCCAGGATGCTGGGGACTGGGGTAAAAACCTTCACTTGAGCGAGGACTGGGATAGCCAGGTCTACTTGGCTACAGAGGCGGAAAATGAGAAAAAAAGGAAGAGAAAGACAGAAAGAAAGATCAAGGAAAGGTATTTTGAGATACAGAAAGACAGGTGGGAAAAGCAAAGGTGCAGTTATAACACTTTATATTTGTAACAATTATATTTTCTCCAAAGAAATGTTAGAAGACACTTCATTCAGACAATCAACACACAAACCCCCCCAGGAGCTGTTTGTGTGGCCGGGTTAGCTGTCAATCAAAACAGGGAACACCCACTGGGCTGCAAGTACAGCAAGCTGTTAGTCGAACGACTACAAACCACGACACCCATGGAGAACTGCTAGACAACTATGAGACAATCTGCTGCTCACATGTTAGATGTGATGCAGGTGAGTTACATGTTCACCAAGACCTCTCTTTCAAGCACGCTTATGAACTATAAAAGCAAAAGGAGTTTAAAATATTCCCAATAAGCAGAACAATCATCTGCTCTGTGTTGTTGGCCAGAGGAGCAAAGTTTAGTAGAGATCAGCAGCTCTCTAACACAGGATACTCTTCCTCTCACTTGTAGTTTCAGCTATAAACAGAAGTGCTTGGTGAACCCACGGTGTTGTTTCCTCTGCTGCTGGTTGATGCACAGTTGATGAACTGTTTTCTGGACACATTTTTTTCTTAATGATTTGAACTTCTCTAACACATTGAGCTCGTTTCCAGCACGGCAGTGTTGTAACCTCTACCTTCCACAGTCTCTCATAGTAGCTTTCTCTGGACCACACCTCCGACAGCAAGACGAGAGACAACGACACATGAAGAGGGAGGCAGAATGCAAAGAAAGGCAAAGTGGGATAATAAGGAGACAAGGAAAGAAAATAAAAATGGGAAAAATAAACAGAAAGGGAGGGGGAGAAAGGACAAAGAGAAGCAGACAAGACAAAGACACTGAAGACGAGACAAAAACTGGCTTCAAATGTTCAGACACAGTCAGGGCAAACGATGGAAACGTTCAGCCTGTTTGTGGACAGGCTCACACATGGAAGGGTTTACATGAACAAAACTATATCTTGGAAGGTTAATTTTCCTTTGGCAGTCAATCCACAGGGAGGGACGTTTCCCTGGGAATACCCAAGATAAAAATAGGAAGATAAACACACAGGGACAGACAGATGGGAAATTAATCACACCGGCTAATAAAGCCAAACATTGGCTAATATCTGCAAAGCTTTGGGTGAATAACTGAATTTCATCATTAATAACCAAATAAAGAAAGGATTTTGGATTAACTGCACCACCTAATGTAAAAACATAATAGTTACAGGAGTTTAGACCATTTGAGAAACAAATAAGCTGATGCACTTCTGACGTTCATGCAGGTTCTGACCATTGCATCCATGTGCAACCAGCTAAGAGGTTTCTATGACCTTGCTCGAAGAGTTGCTTTGAATTGAAAAGGTTTATGTACATGAGCAGGAAATGCCTTCATAAACACCATAAACTTTTTTTGGTGTTTGAGGTAATTGTTACTACACAAAACTGCAATAGGCGCATGCGGATTTGGTTTGTTCTGTAAAATGGTGCTTGATATGCCTAGAAGCAATTTATCTTCATTTTTCAAACTACCTTTAGCATTTACAGGATACAGCACTTAGCGTTTATATGAGATATTCAACTCAAGCAGCATCAAATAAAGCACATAGAGTTAAAAGCTCATAGTGGGCCACCACCATGGTACAATCCAAATCTGTTCATCATGTTAGTGTTTGTGAGCCTGTCCCTCTGAAAGTGCTGAGGTGAGATTTGGTCAGGCCCATAAGTATTTGGACAGTGACACAATTTCTAATATGTGTCATAAACATTTACAGGAATATTTTGTTAAATCCCTTGAATTAAAACTGGATTTGAAATCAACTGTGTTCCAAAAATGTACAGATCGAGCACTCTTAGTGGAGTGTTCGGCTAGTGCGCCTTTCGTGCTATTTACCAAATTTATATGCACTCTTTTCATCTCAGCTCCGTATGATAGCCTGAAAACATTTTTGCTGCTCTTCTCTTTATTTTCTTTAATCTAAATGAAACAAAAAAGGAGAAGGGGGGATAGATGTGGTTGAAATGAAAGATTTTTTGGTTTGAGATGCTGCTGATGTACGGTTCAGAGGTTCTGAAATCCAGTTACTACACCTTTGAACAGAGTGTGTCATTTAAAAATACAATTTCTGCACAGCACAGTTTGGAAAAACAGTAAGTGGAATTTTTATTTATTTATTTTTGAATCAATTCAATAATTTTGAGAGACATGCATTGTTACAAGTGTGACGCCATGGCAAAGCTCCACAAGAAAGGAGTGATTAAAGCTTTTCTCAGTGTAGTGATTCACACATTACCTAATAAACAAAAGTTCCCCAGTTCGATCTCAGGAGGACATATAATCATGTCCAATAACAGGAGCTGATCCTGGTTGTGGTGAGGATTGAACTTTTCAGCAAAGAGCCAAACAGGCCAATGTGAAAGCTTGTTCCTCGCTGATTTCTCACCTTTAGAGAAATTGTAGCCATATATATTTATTTTACAAGAAGCCATACACTTCAAGACAGAAAATATGTGAATGGTGTTTGTGTGCTGCCATGAGACTGACCTTTTACCCTGAAAACAGGATTACCTAGAGCTTGTGTGTACTACTACTACTACTGGCTGCCACCCATAACCTGGTTCAAGGTGACAGAGTGTACACATGTGACACACGCAGGCCTTTTACCCTCATCTGGTATTTATAGTTACAGTCTTCACATGTTCATCTAAACACTAGTACTTTGAATATCTTTTCTGCATAGATCTCACTTGAAAAAGATCTCAGTGAGACAACCTGATTTAATAATATTATGCAATAAAGGAATGTGATATAGTACAATGCATAAGCAGGTCCATATGCTTAGAGGGTATTTAATCACAGTGTGTTACTGTGTTACATTTGCCTCTGGACCTCACCAAAACTGATCAGATATTTGTGTTTTTTGATTTAACATGCACTCCACAGAAGTGTTATGTTTGTTCGATTAGTCAGTGTTAGCCCACTGGATTAAGGATTCATTGAAGGCATTCCTGAGCAAGCCAGAAATAGGGTGCATTAATCCGAGGACACGTCAAAACTATGCCCGACAGACGCAAACACAAATATATGTGGCCGCATTCAATCACAGAGTGCAGAGGACGTTTCAACGGCCTGTCCTGCGAGAACAAAGCATGCAAGCAGTCTTAGCATAAACCCATGGAAAAAACTCCCTCCTGCACAGTAATTATGATAATGGTCTAAAGATTAGAGTTTTACTTCTCAGTGGAGAGTATTAAAAAATGCTGCAACTCTCATCCCACTTTATGTTGAAAATGGAATTTAGATTGTGAAAATCAATGTTCACATAAAATAATGTTAAAAAAAGTAACTATTTACTTATGTTGAGCTACCCAACATGCATCACTAATGGGACTGTTGCAGCGTTTTTATTTTTATTTTTTTAAATACGTGCACTCACATTTGTTCCTGTTAGTAGAAAAGCTTTAGTGTAGTTTAGCAGCACACCACCTGCCTTCAATGGTGTAGACTTGGGTCTTTCAGAGCAGAGGATGGAAAAAGGTACGTGGGTAGTTATGGGGAGGTTATGCATTTGGCTGGATGGGTGAAGGTGGGTAGAGGACAGATTACAGGCAGATGCTACTGTGTGTGGGGCAAGAGGGGGGAGCGGGGACTTCTCACATGACTGCACAGCAGGATGGCAGGTCTGGGCGTCAAAGTGCAGTTGGAGTGGAGTACTGCGATTAGTCTGACGGTGGGTATGAGAGCTGCTGTTTCTGTGCAACTGCAGGGTCTTAAGATCAAAATTTGACTCGGGCTGGATGCTATGGAGGGTGTGGGGACAAACATCTGACGTGCTGAAGGGCAGAGAGTTAAAGTTGGGACTGGACTGTGAAAGGAAAGGAGAGAAATGCCGGGGATGGAAGTGGGTGTTGTTTGACTTTGAATGGGAGGAAGGGAGCAGGTGGCTGTTAGTAGGTGGATTTGTCTTTCGTGGGCAGCTGCTGCTGGACAGGCTGTCCAAATGTGTGTGAAGTGGAAAAAAGACATTAGTTTGTTCTTGAACCAACAGGGAGGAGTAAGATTTGAATTCACTATTTAACTCTGGGTTGCAGGGAGACAAAGAGCTGCTGTAATAACTGCTGTTTTGAGGGGGTGACTCAGGCTGAGGGCTGGGAGAAGAGGAAAAATGCTGCAGACGTTTTAGAGATGATAAGTTGAGAGGATAAGTGGGAAGGTGAGGATGAGGGTTCCCAGTGCAGAGGGAAAGCTGCGAGGCAAAGCACTGTTTTTGATGGCAGTGAAGATGAGAAGGAGCAGAAACACAATCCATACTGAAGGTGGGCTGCAGGGAGGGACGGCGGCTGGGCTGCAAACAGAAACACAAAGGTAGAGGAGGGACATGTCGAAATAAAAGTGTCACAGTGTGACAGCCGGGAAGAGATAAAGCATAGACAGAGATGTACACAACTGTATCCTAAGTCATGCAGCAAATAAGCTTACAGATTGTACTCAAACCAATCCTAAAAAGTTGATTGTGTTCATCTGGACGTAGCGTTTTCAGTAGCAGAAACATTTTATTGCTCATCCAACTGACTTCTTCACTTCACTACGTCCAGATGAACAAAATAAACTTTTTAAGATTCCCTTACCTGAATGATTGAGCATGCATCAAGATTCCCAAACCAACAGCTTCAATTCATTATGTTGCCAATGAACCAGCTGTTTACTGGCAAACAAAACTAGCCTGACCCTAACCCTTTAAAAAAACATATCTCCATCTCATGAACTTCTGCTCGAGACATCTGGCTTTCATTGCAGTCGAAGGAAGCAGTTAAATCAGATGCTAACAGCAGGGTAGCATAAGGCCGTAAGTGAGGATAAAGCAACCAGCAGCTGAGGCAACAAGCTGTGAGGAGTAATGGTAGCAGTTGGGGGCTGGGTTTATGGATTAGCAAACAGAACAGTTAAAGAATTGTGCATTTGTGAGAAAAAATAAGAGACAAGTCTGGTTTTCAGATTGGATGATGACAAAGTAAAGGAAAAGAAGAAAGAAAAAAGTTTTCTCTTGCTCTTGTCTTGTGTAACAGGGTTTGGTTGTGGTCACGCATTTGCACAGTCATCACAATCATCATAGTGAAAAAGCATAATAGGAAACTCTGGCATCACTGAAATACAAACGGCGATTTGAATGCAGAAAGAAAAATCAAAAATCAAAGACTATATCAAGTTAATCCATTCCTTCCTTTTCAGTGTTAGCATTTTTACAAGGAGGGACGTGGTCACACACACACAGACACACACACAGACACACACGGCACTCCTTGAAAAGTCTGTATGAAAGAGCTTAAATCTTTTTGTTTTGACTTCTGCTATGACTCGTCTGACTGCATCACAAGGGTGCAAACTGACAAGTCATCATGTGAAAAGTGTTAACATAAACTTGCTGATTTCTCCTCTTTAGACTTAACAGTGCTTAACACTTAGATATTTGGGTAATACAACAAGTTGGAAACAAACCTATCACAAATCCAAAAGAAAGAATACTAAAAGTCTGTAATTGTGGCTATAAAGCACTCAGTGTTTGCAATGATCAGGGTGTCAACAGCACAGAAAACACCACTGTGCACTCGTACGAACACAAACGCACAGACACACAAACACATGTGGTGTGGTAGTGTCTTACTTTTGGTGGTGCTTCATCAGACCCTCCAGAATCCCACGAAACAGTGACCTGTCTCCTCATCTCCATCCTGTTTCTCTCCTTCTGCTGGACCTTCTCTTCCTCTAATATTGTGCTAAAAGAAAGAAAAACAAACAGCAGGGTACTTGCATACACTCATACTCAATGATGCATAAGCACATATGTAAATAGGCAGGGGTGACTCTGTCACAAATATGATAACAAACACTTGAGCCTGTTTATTAGAATGCAGTCCCGTGTTACAGAGGTCCCTGGTATTTAACTGTGAATAATGATGATGTCCATCCACGTGCAGCATCCAGAGGCACGTAAATGAAACAGTTACTCCCACTGCTGCAGAAAAAAGGCTTTTGCATTCAGTGTAGAAATTTTATCTCCGCTCATATAAACGCATGCTCTTAGACTAACACACAATTCCCACTTTTTAGGGTCTTTCCCCACTGGCGATTCTTTACAAGCACGCTGCTGGCTTAAGTGGTTTTCTGCCTCCCCCTGTAAATATGAAAACTTGCTGTGAACCCCATTTAAAAGGCACACACTGTCCTCAGTATTAGTTTTATTACACTGTGCTGTGTACCCACTAAAAGTCATGCATTCCTCGCACTCTGTTTGTACAGACTCTCCAAGCAAAAACTACTTAAGTGAGAGTAAAATCAAATATCATTTTGTTATGAAATGCCCTACTGCTGCTTCTTTTTGCCTCCACAGTTTATCCCACATAAATCACTCTCATGGGGCAGCTACTCTAACGCAACAAATTGAATTTATTAGAACTTTTGCCTAATAAAAATCATCACCGTCTCTCAATTTTCAGTCTTTGTCAGTTCTTTGCTGGCCAACTGTGCCAGCTCGCTAAAGCACTTAATCATTGACTCGCATTGCTTAAGAATGGACTGAATCACTCACAGTTTAAGAAACATCCCACGCCCCAAACCCAACATTTTTAGGTCTAGCGTAGCCAAAGATACCACATTGAATTTAAGCGATAAAATTACTGACCCGTTTCCTGGGAAAGCAGCAGTTAGATGAAGCCAAGCCCCGAATCCCAGAGGGAGAGCAGATGGTTTACTCTTTTTACAAAACAGAAAACTGAACTTCTATTGAACAATCCAGCACAGCACCCTCTCCGCACCGCCACGTGCTCTTTCTGCTCGCCTTGCCTCAACAAGGGCAGGCGCTATTTCTAGCAGCATCGTTACGCTGTTCCTGTTCTGTTGTCTCGTCGATTGTTTGCGTGTCCTTGCACCTGCCCGAGTCAGTCTCCAGTCTGCTCTGCTTTTCTATCACACTCGAGATCCCTCTGACACACTCAAACACGGCGTAAACATAGACTTGTGTGAACTGACAGTCAGCAGCTTGATTATTGAGCTTTAAAACCCATTATTAATTACAATTATCTAAACTTACAGTAGAGGCAATCCTTACTTTACTCAGCTAAAGACCTCAGATAAAGTTAAATCCTTTAGCACCAGTTTTTCAGCAGTACCTTTTACTTCATAATAATAAACAGTAGTAATCCCAGCATGAACAAATACAGATACAACACACACAATTACTTTGCTAAAACTAAACAAAACAACCTAACTGTTCGCGATTGATTTCCCAGTCTTTCTCTGATTATATATTTAATGTGTGTGCTTTCTTTTTTAATGTAAGCAGTCAGCAAATGAATCTGCCAGTCTTGCTTAGCAGTTGAACAGTAAATGACATCGCATACATGCAACAGCAATACCATCAACACCTGGCAACATCAACACAGACCGTCTCCTACCCCCACCTGCACTGCACCACCTGGAATAACAAGGCCTCCTCAGTTTATTTACGCAGGCCCTGCGGACTACATATTCTTAGGGTTTCGAGCAACACATTGCTCTTAATCTCACATACTCTAGTTCTCACCTGAGAGCTCCCAGTATGACCACGACTGAAGATTATCAGGATACTAACATACATATGGCATCATGATGACTTGATGAGTGTGAGACTTTGCTCAGTAAAGTCTATAGTCCATATTTAAATCCTCCATCAAAAAGGAGTCACTGCTGTCACAGCATATTTATGCTTTTGTGAACGAGCCAAGTTCTCTAAAAAACAAAATACTGGCAATAAGCCTTCAGACTGAAACTCTGAAGACAAAAACGTCAAAGAGCATCAAAGAGGAACGCCAGAAGAACAACTCTGGTCAAAGGGATACTAATACAAGCTCCTCTAATAGCTGATTATATGCTAAATGAAAAGAGTTCTTCAAAGCCTGACATCACAACACTTAGAAAAGTCAAATGAGATAGAAGTGCAAAGAGATCAGACAATACTCTACCTTAGGGAAAAAAAAAAGTGTCCACATCCGCCCGAGCACCTAGGAAGAATTAAAGCAGCCACTAGAGGGGTGATGGCCCGACAGCAGTCAGCACTAATACTTTACTGAAGGTCACCGTGAACTGCAGAGGATATTAGCATCACTAGAATCACAATGCCTACTTCTTCATATGGGATTGCATAAACCTGCTCTGTTGCAGCTCAGATACGTTTCGCTGCTGGGATAACGCGATCTGATCTTCGTAGGCTAGCTTTGACCGTGAGGAGTGCAGCGTTGCAGTAACTCTGCTCGGCTTTTTCCATTCTTCTTTAATTCTATCTGTCTTCTCTCTCCCTCACTCTCTCCCTCTGTTCTTTGGTAAACTGTGGCTCATGGCAGCTGCACACTGTGTAAACACACACACACGCGCACGCACACACACAGACACACACACACACTAGTAGTAGCTGAGAGTTGCATATTTGGCAGCAGGGACCTATAATTGATATTATGATATAAAAGCCAGCCAGACTGAAAGTAAACCAAATCGTATAACCTTATATGGCTCCACTTTCTCCTATTAATAGCCAGTGACCACGTCGAACATGGTCAATATTGACTTGGTAACCAAGACACTGGCTGAGGCCCACCGAGGGCTCCTTCGCTCTCAGCCATCCCAATTTGAATAAATGCACTTAATTTTGCCCACTTAGCAGCCACACTGCACATGCACTTTTCCACACTATGTTCTCACCCTGTTAAAACATACAACCGCAAACATATGGAAGCATGTGTCAAAGTAACGAGCGGATTTCTGCGACGTGAAGGCCTCCAACTTGCTCTGAGCCAAAAGGAGGAGATGGTAAAAAAAAAAAAAAAGCACAAGTCAAGGGGGGGGGGGGTGTGTGCTGGAAAAGGTGGTAAAGGGAGCCTAACAGAAGCAGAATTACAGGAGAAGCAGGAGAGCTGACACGTGAAAAGTGGAGGTGGAATGTGAGGTGTGAGTCATGCTGGTTTTAAGCAAAACTCATAAAACCACAGGAGTTAAATATGCGCCCTCATTTTCCTGTTTCTGTGTAAGAGAGTAAAAAAAGGTTAAGGTAGAGAGAGAATGTGCACGCTGAAGGAAACAATGATGGCATCTTGTTCCGCTGCTGCTGCATGCTCCACATGTTTCACACAGTAAGAATGTGACTTAAAATGTATAAGGTACACAAACTAAGTGCAATATGTTTTGTCAGGAGGGATTCAGTCAGTTGTGGAAGCTTAGCTGTCATGAAGAGTTCATGAAATGACTAAGGAGGGCCTGTCTAGACTAAATAACTGATAGCAGCGCTTGCAGACTCCTTTCATAGCTCTCTTAAAGACTAATTTCCTGTAGACTATATGCAAAGGACAAAAATAAAGGCGAAACAATGTTGACAAATTAACCTGAACTCTATCTGCAGCATGTTCTATTGTTAAGTGACACCTGGAGAACCAATGTCACGATTACGAGAAACAATGAGGATATTACTTCAATGAATATGTATACCAAGCATCGTCTTTATAGATTTTAGAGGTTCAGACTGCACTCTAATAAAAGTTTCATATCAGTCTTCCTAATCTCATAATCCATTTCTTTCATTTCCCATAAGGGGCAATGCTGAAACATCGCTTCCAAAAAACTGCAGGTCTGTTCATGCCAAAAGATTATGAACTGTTGAGTAATGACGGGTGGGTAAAGCATTGTCCTTACTAGGCTCTACCTAACCCCACTGTGTAGCACAATGAAAGAAAATATTCATAGTATATGTGGTAATAGAAGAGTCAGATTAAACTAAAGCTCCTGATCTGCTACACAACGCCGAGCAAGAGGTCTTAAAAAGTGCTGTAAAGCATGAACATACTGTAGTTTAAATAAATAATTTCAACTTGTTTGTGTGGCTGTTTTTCTGCATGTGATGGCTTATAAATTCAGTCTCTTTCTTTGACTGTACCTGAAGATGATGACAGCTGACATGGTGACCAGATTATAGGCACACCCCTCTACCTGAGACTGTGCAACTGTAATGTCTTGATAAATGATAAATGGTGAATATATTCGAGCCTTCCCATTAATAAGAGACACACTAGTCTGGGGCTCGGACTCGGGGAATTTTAAAATTACCAGCAGTGATGTCTGGTACTGCCTTATCTGATCGCAACACGCCCGGGATTTCGCAGAAAATGCGATCTATCCTTGCAAAACCATCTCCAGGCAAAATCTAGTAATGAAGCCGTGATGTATCATCTAACAAGGAAAGGCATGACTGAAGTTGCTTACTTGTCTCTGTCAACATCACAACTCTGTTACCATGGCAGCCATAAAGTCATCAGCCCAAACAGAATGCAAAGTGCACCCTGCTTCATACCTGAACAGGTTTGTGTTACATCCTGAGCAGTAAAGGACCCTTTTGTGTGCACTCAGTTAGGCTGTGAAGACTATTAATATTGTCAGTTGGATATCCTCTCACTGGTAAAAAAATAAAATAAAATAAAATAAAAATAGGTATCTGAAAATATGTAAAGGGAAGGAGGACCATGGAGGCTCCCTCACTTTCATCAGCACCAGTATAATCATTCCGTTGCTTGTATGGGTTTACAGCTGGATCGTTTCATCCTCTTTGAGCCATGGATTTAGGGACTCTGACAGGTGGTCAAAATGACCTGCTCAAGATCAAACTGAGCATCAGAATAAGGAGGAAAGTTGATATGTAGGATCTTTTACTGACTTGTTGATGCCAGAGGTCAGAGGAGAATTGCCAGACACTTTGAGCTGAAAGGAAGGCAAACCTAACTCAAATAGGCACTCGTTACAACAAAAGCACAATATGTTGATGGGCTACAGCAGCAGAAGACCAGACTGGGACTTATGTTAGCAATTCACACAGGCTCACCAAAATCGGACAATAGAAGATTGAAAAATGTCACCTGGTCTGATGAATCTTGACTTCTGCCAACATTTGGATGGCAGGATCAGAATCTGCCGTAAACAACATGAAATCATGGATCCCTCCTTGTATCTATAGAGGCAACTCACTGTCAACTATATATATTCAACTTTGTGCAATGTACTGGAAGTTATTTGCACATATTAGAGCCATTTCATTATATTTTATTACTTTGTAACAGATTGTAATATGTCATTACTGTCTCTGGGATTTATAAAGTATTGTGATTCAGGCTGACTGTGATGTAATGATGTAATAGTGTGGGGAAGTTTTCTTGGCACACTTTGAGCCCCCTTGGTACCAATTGAGAAATTGTTGCCCATGTTGATCAAGATCAAGACAGTTTTGAAGCCAAACTAGCAGTACAGCATACCTAATGAAATGCCAGTGAGTGTGTGCTGGAATACAAATGTTACCTATAAAACAAGTCTACGAGACCTACAAACTTGTTTAAACAAGCCAGAAAAGAAATACCTAAGCTTGAATGAACAAAGAATCTTTCTTGGCACCCACAGACATTTTCACAAGTCAGACTGTCTGTGGTTAATATTTCATTTTGGTCTGATGTTAAGTCATCAAGAAAAACAGAAAACTACAAGACCACAGTATGTTTCAGACTTTCAAAAGTGCATCTACAGCGTTTCCTCGTTTGTCCCACTGCTAGTGACACTGCCGTGATTACAACAGACTGAGAGTGACACCTGCTGTCAAGCAAGTGTAAAAATACTGACGGCCCCAGTGGTGGTCCTCAGCCTCCTAGAAGGTGCAGCTATGGTAATCAAAGGTGCGTCTTGAGTTATAGCATTCAATAGATTCTCAGAAAACTTGACCTCTGATCTTGAGAAAACTGAGTTTTAAACGTTTCTAAAAATTTTAATAGATACACCTGTGGTATCAATTTGCAGAAAGTAGAACAGAAAAACATCCACTGGATTTCACAACACATTTTCACCTATAAATGACATAAAAGTACTTTTACCTTTTCAATGTATTCAGATTACCTATTGTTATTTTTTATAAATCCAGATGGCAATTGGCAATTTAAATGTACATAAAGGTTCTCTTTCTAATACGATAATGTAACAACTAAGTAAAATAAATGTGCCACTGCAGTCATTCTTCAGCTTTCTTCACCAATATCATTTAAACCAAAGCTTACTAAAAAGGACGTGGATGGTACACATGAAGTTGGGTAAAAAATACTGACGGATCTGAAATACAAATATTTGTGCTTCTTTGGATTCTGACCCTATATACATGCGTCCTGCCAGCTCACGTGCTGTAGGTGCCACCCTTTTTGTACAGCTGAGTCTACTCTAATAAGTACTACTCTAGTAAGAGTATTTAAGGCTAGAAAAAGGGGATCTGTAGAGCCGCAGAGCATTTTTGTTTCGCAGCTAGTGAGCTGTGTGTGGTGGCTGCTTACTCCTGCTCTGTGGGCAAGTGTGTGTGTTTTGGTGATTTAACCTTTTTGGCTTTTCTGATTATTGACCAATTCCTGGGTTTGTTTGTTTGTTTTAACCTTTTTTTAAAGGTGACAGCAACTTGTCTGTTTCTTTCAGTTTAATTAGGAACAAAAATATTAATAAAACCTTTTAATTTAAGAATTCTGACTCCACATCTCCTTTTGTTTTGTTTTTAACCCGACACCTTTTGTGACTTTTTAACAAATGGAATATAACATGTTATCAGCATAACACCACGCCATCTTCAGACTTATTTACATCTGTCAGAAGTGGTGCCAGTGGTAAACCTGCATGCTGTTGGGCTCTGAGCACAGGTCCTGCTAAAGGACATTGAGCCCTCATGATACCATAACGGAGTCCAATCCTTTCATTCTGATTCAGATGGTCTGTTTAGGATTAGCCTGCTCAAGGTCATTGTAAGGTTCTGCTCCTCCTGTTCCTCCATGCATAAAGGAGCTGACGGTCCTGTAACAACCTCCCTCCTGGTATCTGCTCTAGATTTGAGACTGTGCTCAGAGACAAACCTTCTCAGAATGACACATATGGATGTGCCATGTCGCTAGAGCCGGACTACCTGTAACCTGAATGGTCTGTGGCCACCGCCACAGACCGCTTTGTTTTTGTTATCTCGATCTCTGAAGTTTAACTGACTATGTCATTGTCTTCATGACTGTTTCACTCGTTTCTTTAGGGTTTAATTGAGACGTGTCTATAAAGTAATGATGGTTTAAGGTTCCTGCAGCATAGTTCATTCAAGCATTCAAACAAAAAAATCTATTTGCAGAAAATCCACACTCAAAGTGCCTCACACACAGTCACACACAGTCTCTCAGATCACACGCCACTGACCTCAGCTGTGTTTTAAGTTCATTAAAGCGTGGCCTCTTGCTGGGATCGTACGACCAACACTTTGTCATCAAGCTGTAGAGAGTAGGAGGACACTGAGGGGGCATAGCCAGTCGCTCGCCATTCTCTATCCTGCCTATGACATCGTTGTTCTTCACACCCTGGAAAGGCTTGATGCCATACATCAGAATCTCCCACATGCAGACACCTAAAGAAAGACAAATAACGTGAGTGAGAATGAGACAGCTACAGCCTACAGGGGTCGTAAAGCAAAGACACAAAGCAAGGGTAAAACAGAAGCAGACTGGAGCGGGACAAAACTGAAGCAGCACAGACTTAAAACATACCAAACATCCAGACATCACTGGCTGTAGTAAATCTTCTGAAGTTGATGGATTCTGGAGCCATCCATTTAATAGGCAATTTACCTTTAGATGCTGAAAAACAGAAATGAAGAAAACTGTGTCAGGTCTGCTGTGAATAATAATGGAGCTTCTCTCTGCCGGATCACAAAGAAAGTAAGACAAAGGTGGCGATGCTTTTTTACATACCTTTATAATAAGAGCTATCCTCCATGTATCGCGACAGCCCGAAGTCTCCCAGCTTCACACAGTCAACCGTTGATACCAGCACGTTCCGCGCTGCGATGTCTCTGGAGACGTCAAAAAGGAATTAGAGGAAGAGAAAAACTCACTGATATAATTTTTTCTATTCAAATTCAGTGGTCGCATTCATATCTAACATGCGTTTTCTTTTTTGACAGAACAACAGTGTTTCAGTCCAGTAGGTGACAACGCCACCTACTGGAATTATATTTATTTAGTAATTATGAATATTTTGCTATATTATTTCTGTATGGCTCTTTCCTACCTGTGTACAAATCGTTTGCTCTCTAGATACGCCAACGCTGTGCTGAGCTGGTAAGAGTACAAGATGAGAGTAGCCAGATCCAGACTGTATTTCCTCACCTGAAGAAACGACCGAAGCTGTGTAGAAAAACACAGGGAGATACTATATAAATAAAGCTGAAACGAAACACAATGAGAAAACAAACCAGAAAGCATATACATGAGTTAATGTATAACACCCATAATATTTAACCCTGGGGAATGTGAGGAAATAACTGACAGAAAAGTGTTTATCATCTGATCTGTTCTTAAACAAACACACAACAGGGTTACAGGTCACGTCTCAAAAACTCTGATCTAATTTATAGTTTCCAGTTTTTAAAGAAATATAGAAAACAGCAGGGCTCACATACCACATGCACAGGGATGTAACTGTGCTTTACACAGATGCAACTTATACATATTCTTATTAGTGTCATACTTCTCCAAATGTACAGAGCTCCATGATGATCCAGACTGGATTCTCAGTGATGACTCCCATCAGCTTCACTATGTGAGGATGATCAAACTGACGCATGGTCACTGTAAGAAACACAAGAGGGAGGAGTCAAACAATTCCCCAAAAAGAAACCTTTTTTAAAAACTATTTAGAGGGTACTATGATTTTACTGCTATGAGGTCAGCATCTTACGTGCTTCTTGGAGAAATTTTTCCCTGACACTGTCTGATGTTGAGTTTTTGCACGTCTTCACTGCCACAGACAGAGCTGGGTTCTCCTGCAGGAAACGCATCCAAACAAGCAAAATCAGCATCATTTCAACACCAACACGCAGCATATTCACTGTCTGCTCCACAGAAGTCACAATCAAACTCTAAACAGTTTGCAGTTTTCACTAAAGGGCCTTTAAAATAAATACTGTTACCTATTAAATTTGTTCTACAAGACCATCCCTTTATGCTTCTCTGGTACAAATGCTTTGACTGTGCTGTGTGTCGTTACTGTGATATGACTGAATCAGTTTAGCCTCTCTTGAAAGTGAGTGTGCAGAGAGAGCGCAAGAGAGCAAAGACAACAAACGTACCGGGCTGATGTAAATTCCTTGGTGGACGTCTCCGAACTGACCCTCGCCTATGCAGCGTCCCAACTCGATACGATCCCGCTGAATCTCATAGTCCCGCGCTGGATGCACAAAATAAACACGAACACACACACAGATGAAAATGAACAGAGTAAGCCTTCAGATCAAAACATACACAGATTAATGTCCACACACTGGGCTTGCATTAACCAAGCTTGTCAGAGCACTTTATAGTATTTTTACAGCCTGTCTAAACAATCTGTAGGTTAAACAGCTTAAATACGCATGTTTGAGGTTAGTTTCAGACCGCACCATGGAAATAAATTGAATTCTGTCAGATGCAATATTTCAAAAATCTGACCTACTCTGACAAGCTTGAATTTATAAACAAGCTCACCATCAACAGCATGCAACAAGAGCATCAGCAAACCACAGCCAGACATGCCATGTAACACAGACAAACAGGAGCCAATTACAATGAGCATGAATTTCTATGTTGATTCAAATGTAATATGGATAAAGTCAGGTGGTATATGGTGAAAACTCTCAAAAGGCTCACAGGCCAACAGAAAACCTGTTGCTTTTGCTCGGGACGCAGATCACTGGAACTGTAGCAGCTCAATATTCTTTGTGTTTTCTGTCCAAAGTGGTTGGTAAAAATGAGTTTTTTTAATCTTTTGTTTTAGGTTGGTCTGTGAGATGCAGGCTGTTGAAAGCTGACGTTTGCTCATGACACTGCTGACCTGACTTTGTCCATGTAATAAGCTTATGAATAAAGCACACGTGAAGCCATAAAGGTCACTTTACTGTATTCTCTGCACTTTTATGACAATCATGGCTGTTCAAGCACATGGGCGACTTTTAGAGACAAAAGTTTCTGGGCAGTAAAACGTAGCAGCGATGACCTCAATGTGGAAACAGGCTGCATGAAAAAGGGAACCCTAATTATTGCTTTTGCTCTGTTCTCTGCCTCTAAATGTCACCCGTGTGGCTGACGCTTTCAAAAGTCCAGTGTTAAATAATGCAGTAAGACTATCCTGTTTGTTAGTAGTCTGGGTTTAAAATGTTCCAGCGTATAAATGTATGCATCTATTTAAAGCCGTCCCTCTCACTGCACTTACTCCTCCAGGCAAAAATTGCAATAAGGAGGATGCTCTGAATCAACTTGCCTGGTTACAAAAATATTTCTGAACGCCTGCCATGTTTCTGTTACTCTGAGCAGTGAATAGTGTTTTAACAGCGGTTGACTGTTTATATTATTATTGATTTTTCTGCAGAGTAACCTAAGCTCATTCTCAATTTGTTCCACCTTTTAAACACAGACAAAAACAAGATCCAAGTCCATTTGGGTTGTCTCACTTCTGAAGCTACCACCAGTTTAGCAGAAAGTCACAGCACATCACACATGAGCAGAGGGGTGTTTGGTGGTGGGGGGAGGAGGAGGGGGGTCAAATCAACAGGGTAGAGGTACAGACAGAAACTTTTTTTTTTCAGTCACAAGCAAACGTAAAAGGGTCACAACAACCACCAAGTCAAAGTGCCATCACAGTACAACCAGAGTTATGGTACTTTTTCAATCATTACCTTGGTCTAGTCCATAGTATTCTGGGAAAATGGGTTAGTGATAAGAGACAGAAATAGCTAGCTGTGAGTACAGAGAGCCACATGTTGTTACTGGAGTCTCTACTAATTAGGTCAGTGTTACTTCAACAGCTGCAGCGAGTGTGAGTGTAACAGTGATGCTGATGGATTAGAGCTACTGTAAGTCAGAAACAGTGTTATCACATTAAATAACTAATAGGTAAGACAAATAGATAAAAACCTTCCACTGTATAACTGCTGCAGTGATTCATATGTTTTGGTGGTCGACAGGTTATTTAACTCTATTTAACCTTAACTGAGTAGCTTTTAATGTCTTAAGAAACCATATCAGAAAAAAACATCCCGGGGTCTTTAAAAAGCTGTTACTCAGTTTCAGGGTCAAGCTCCTTGCCTGCTTCAAGCAGATTATTAAAACTACTAAAACTAGGTTAAGAACTGTTCAACGGATTAAAACCTGGAAGGACAGCTGTGAAACATCACCAGAGGAATGTGGTCAGGAGAAAAAAAAATCTTGAATATGATGTTTAAAAGTGAAAGTAAGAGCATTTCCACACGCACAATGTGAAGAGAACTCAAGGGACCAGTGGTAGTGACTTGCCAGTGAAGCTAATTTGAAAAAAGGCTTCAGTTTGGTGGAGAGCACAAAGACTGGACTCTGGAGTAATGAAAAAAGGTCATGTGATCTAATAAGTCCAGGTTTACCCTGTTCCAGAGTGACGGGTGCATCAAGGTAAAAAGAGAGGCAGATGAAGTGATCCATCAATCACGTCATTGTTTTGCTTACTATAACAGTCCGTGGGCGCACTGTTATGATCTTGGGCTGCTTCAGTTGGTCAGGTGTAGGCTCTGCAACATTATGTGCCCAAACAATGAGGTTAGCTGGATCTACTGAACGACCTGACAATGTCAGGATTCACTGGGATCAAAGCGGGAAAGAGCAAGCCTAAACCCTGATAACAGTCTTTGGGATGTGCTGGAGAAGGCCAGTCCAACTCTTCCATCGTCAGTACAAGATCTTGGTGGATAATCAAAGGAACACTGGCTAGAAATAAATGCTGCGATATAGCATACAGGCCCGACAAGCCCACAGCACATGTCATCACTAGCTATATTAGAAAGGTGCAAGTTACAAAGCAAGCAACTTGCTAGCCAAATAGTGAACTGCTTGGAAACCTGCCGTTAACACAACCAAAATACTTATTAGCACACTCAAACTACCCAAGTACCAACATAAACAGCTGAACTTGACCTTTTTGGAGAAAAAAAACAAAAAAAGCTGAATGAGCCACTTGCAGTTCTGATGCAAACGAATGTTTCAATGCTTTTTGAGATTAGTAAAAAGCATTGCTGCTGTAGTTATTACTTTGGTACTGTGTTTACATGTGTAAGTCCAGAAGACTGAACTACAAAACTATAATTTATGAATGATCAAAAAGCAAAGCCATGTTGGGATTCAGCTGCATTCTGCTTACATGGAACGAGTGCTTACGATATTCAGGCAACATTTTATGGCAGCTTGAACAGGCAATTTGTCAAAACAGCTTAAAAAGAAAATACACTCCATCTTCCCATCCCACATTAAGCTGATACTGCCCGTCTACTCTGCCTTCTTATGCTGCCTATTCACCACAGCCACACAGCATCGAATTCAGCTTAACATGAGTCTTAAGCCTGGTTCACAGGCATCGCTCAGCAGCAACAGCAGCACAGCAGAACCTCTTCATATATATTTCTTATTTATTCAGCAATGTTTTAATTAATGCAAAGAACTGTTCAGCCTCCATGTATGACACACAAGGTCAGACAAATGCCTACGCTGATGTCTCATACTAAAAATATTACCAGCCTTTCACACTGAGTGCTATCACGGGAGGAATCAGTCATTTGTAAATGTTCACTAAAAATGCAGACAATGCGCGCATAATACGTCAAAAGAATCTGAGGAAGCTGCGGCTCTTGCCAAATCTTGTGGAAACTCGTGAAAATAAATATAGACTGCGAGTGTAAAAATACACACAGAATATGGTCGAAGTGGCTTCCCCCTTTTAAATAATAATAATAATGTGACCACGGAAAATGTGATCATTCACACAGGAGTCTGACCAGATCAAAAACCTCTTGGAACATATCTAACTGCACTCAAATTCATGCTTTAAAATTATGTCAAACAAAGGAATCTTTACATCAGGTCTGCAAGGTGACTTGATTTAATTTCAAGTGCTGGGTAAACTATTTAAGAATAAAATAGTGTGCAAACGTCTTGAGCTACCCATTTTTCTTTATATTGTGCTTCCAATGATCCAGACTTTCTTGTCTGGGTGATTTATTTATTTTTTATTTACTTTATTTTATTAAATTGTGGGCATTAGTTCTCCAGGCTTTTTGAAGGCCTGACCTATGAATGATTCAAGCATAAAAAGGCGCCCAACTAAAGGGATGAGCCAGTGTTGTGTTTACACAAAAACACAACTTGATCTATTACAAAAACACAAAATTTGTTCCCATTTTATTAGTTGAATCGATGAACGATAGTTGAACGATAACACAGTTTGAGAGGTATAAAAAAAAGAGAGCTGTTAGCCAGAAACTTTGCATATACTGGCATGGTGTGCAGTGTGACTTCAAAAAATTTGAGGAAACTGGACAAGTGAATGACAAAAGAAGTGGCCTAAGCATATGCAGCTAATGAGCAGTTTTTTAAGAAAGCAAGCAAAGAACCTCAGAGATCCATGAGACCCTTGAGTTGAAGCCTCATGAGAAATGGTGTCAGTGGAAGGATGGCTGTAAAGATTCTTAAGGGAAACAGAAATAAGGGTGAGGTACGCCAAATTACTCAGAAAACTGACTGAAAATCTGTGACAACAGGTCTGATGGAGCGATGAATCTAAATGTGAATTGCTGTTGATTTTTTTGAGATAGTGTAGTAGTGAAGAGTAGACAGGAAAGCAGACAGAGAAGACGAGGAAGAATCCTGTATTCAGCCTTGCAGAATATATGGTCATCCTGAACTACATTAGCACCCAGTATTGCTAGAGTCTTTTTCACCATACAGCACCATCTGAAAACTTGTATTTCCATGTATGCATGTTTCAATAAATCACCGCTCCCATTTTCCAGTTTCAAATCACAGTATATACAAATGAAGGGGTGGCTCAAGACTTTTGCACAGTACCGTATACCAAGACAAATTAAATAAAATACAAAGATTTTCACAAGTGAACGTGTGCTACAGTAAAGAGGTTCCTGACTCCAATCTCATCCAAATTTAACTCCAAAATTCATCTAAAATGCCACCACACTCAGACAACATGCCTGTTCATGGCTTTTAATCTTCATCTATAATGAAATCAACAAAAAGAAACGGTGAAGTAGACAGAGTGTAAACAAAGTCCCTCTATAAAATGCCTCTGATACAAGTCTGACACGGTCCACTGATAGCGCAGACACAAACAGCTATCACTGCCTCGCCACTTGTCACTTTAGCTGCCCACAACATTTATGGGTATGTGTATCAGCGTATGTCTACTTACTCGAAGGCATGGTGTAGGTGTCCTCCTCGTCTATGATCTCAGCATAGTCGTCGGTTTCTGCAGAGCAAAGAAAAATCAGGATGAGAAAAAGAGCCGAGAACAAATCAACAAGTTCTGAGCTGATGACAAGCTTGCATCTAAAAATCACTACAAAGTTCTCGGTATCAATGATTTAACTGTATAACATGTCACCATGTCTAAGACCTTCCAACATCACTAAATAACTGAGTCCGGTGAGCACACCTTCACCGAGACAAAGACTGCAATTTGCAACATTAAGAGATGCACCATGATCAGAAAGAGCTACCTTGCCAAAAGCCCGTCACCATACCCGACTCCAAACACATGCACAACAACTGAAACGTTCGTGTACTACAGTGTGGCCTCACACAAGGAGTGACACGGAACAATTGAGAGGGAGAGAGAGAAGAGGAAAGGGGAGGGATGGAAATATTCTTTCTTTCCAGAGAAACAAGCTGGAGAAAAACAGGTTTAGTCATGGAGAGAACTAATACAGAGTCGAGCAGGGACAGAGAGAGTTAGAGAGATATTCTCCACACATACGGCAGCCTTAATGAAGATACAGAGCAGGAATTCCACTGTTACTAATGAAGGAGGTTTAAAGAAAATGCAGTTTACCATCGCCACTAATGTGACCTGCAGAAGCCACAAGCAGCATGAAACACAAACACCGGGGGAGAAACATGGAGAGAAGCATTAGTTTTACCGTTAATGGCTCTAAAAGGTCTTTTTTAAAATGTCATTTTAAGTACACGTGAATGAATCTGAAGTCAGTCGACAGCCTGAGCAGAGACAGAGTGACAGTGACTAAAGCTCTCCACCAAGACATCTGGCCAGACAAGGACTCTTCACTGCGCACACAGATGAGGCTTTATGTGGTAACAGCACTCGCACACATATCTGTGAACCCTTTATCTAACTCTTAGCCGTCACTGTCATTCATGACATTTAGAGCAGAGGACAGAGAAGCACAGTGACAGAGGAGAAATGGACTGGCTAGCAAGAGGAAACACGATGGGGGGGTTTATACCTGAGACGCAAACTGCTCGAGTTCGTACTCCGTCCATCCGCTTTTCCATCCGCTTCTCATGGTTTGAAACTCTGGACCAGAGAGAAGAGAATTATTTTGGGGATTTGGCTCACATTGTCTTAAGACAGAATGAGCTGCTATTTGCAGCTACGAAGACAGCGGCGCAACGAGGGAAACGAAGAATCCTCCCACATCCTGTCATGTGTGCTTCTTCAAGTGTCAAACATTAAAAACCAAAAAGTTTCTAAAGTTTACAGAGAATATTATATTTACCTTATAAGCAATTCAAGAATCCATGGATTTGAGACATGTTTATGCTCACTTTAGTTTCAGAGTCATAACAAAATGCGTGAAACCCATAATAACCACCCAATCAATCAAAGAAAAGATAACAGGCTCCACTGGTAAAAGACGGAAGAAGATAGCTTGTTTTCACTTAACACAGCCCTGAACGAGCATAAAACAAATTAGTAGACTTACTTTGGTATAGATGGCAGAGCTCTGTCTCCCTCTGCAGAGACAAAATCCACAATTTAATTGGTCACTGACTTCATGCTAGAGCTACGATTTCACAATTTCTTTGTAGCCATAGCTATTTTTAGGAAACACTAGCCAGACACCATCTGGTTAATCAAAGCGACAAGCATAAAGCCTCACTAGTCACAATCAAGACTCCACCTCAGTCTGAGAGATGACTTGACAGCGATTTCAATGCGGTACTATTTACAGTGTTTTCTTTTTTTTTAAGCTACTGTTAGGATAGAAACAATAGAAACATGACCACAATCATCATCTTTGCACAATCTTACCGCTACAAAGCTACAAAAAACAAACAAACAAAACCCAAACAAACAACAACAACAAAAAAGTGAAACATTAGACTATAATATAAAATCTGCACAGCTGAACGTCATACCTTTGTGGACCCTGACGATGAAGGAGTGAGTAACTGAGGAGACGAGCCGACAGTAACCGTCAATCAAGTCGGCCATGTTTTCTGCCGTAGTCAGCAATGCTGTAGTGACAGTGAGGGGCTATACACACACACCCACAGAAGGATTAGTGTAAGAACGGGACAGAGAGCTACTTCACAGTGACACAACGAGGGCTTTATTAGGAAGAAGGCCTCCTATTAGTGCGTGCACACACACACATATAGTCCCATATAGACACATATCCCTGCTCCAATACTGTGGCAGTGACACGTTTTCTGTAAGCCTGCTGCAAACACACAGTCAATATGAAACTCAGGCTCCTCTCCTTTTTCCTGCAGCTCACCTAGTTTTTCATGCGTTTTAATATAACTTGAACTATTATGTTTAAGTAATTCTATACACAGTCTATTTTATAAAGTAAACAGTGACATTAGCATTCATCAGCTGGATGGAAATAATCTCTGTGACAAGTGTGATTTCATCAGCAGCCAACACAAGCAGGAAAACAACATCCACTTATTGGCACAGAGACTTTGCATTATATGCATTTTCAGTGAGAATGTACATGAGCCACATGTTTGAGAGGAAACGCATACAAATAAGTGTAACTCAAATTTAAACAGCAATAGGTTGTATTTCACATTGTAACACACACAGAGAGCCAGGTGAAGAGTATACAGGGTGTGTGTTTTTACCTCAGGAGCTCCGGCCACGTTCAGCTGCAGCATGCCTTTCCTGTCCTTCTCGTCCAAAGCAGAGTACTGGATGGACTGCACCTGGTTAAAGTTAGCTAAGTGTGTGGGCTGCAGAGACAAAGGCAGAGTCACAGTCATTAAATACATCTGGAAATAGTCAAAAAGAATCTTTAGATATTTAAAGCCTAAGAATTATAAGAAACTATTCTGCATTATATCCTGTAACGTTTCAAGCAAAAATGAAAATGGATGTCAGTCAGCTTGTAGCACTGGATTGTATTGTCTACCTCAAGTTTCTAACATTGCTTACTACGAAGCACAGCATCAGTGAAACACGTGGCATGTGAACTAAGTGAAAGCGTCAGAAATATGACTGCTGCACTAAGCAAAGAGGAGCTTTCTCAGCGTCAAACCATGTCTAGACAGAAGGTCTCTAAGGAGGCTGTGCACCGCACTCTAAAACACTTTACAGAAACTTTATCAGCTGTATCCAAAGTACAGGCAAAGTGACCACAACATCAGAAGATCAATACATCAAGTTTGGTTCACTGACAGATAGAAAAGCAACTTCATAACAGACATTGCCTTTAAAATATTTTTAAAAAATGCAAGACTCCAGTCAGAGGAGTAGTGCAGAAAGAAGATTATCTGGATCTCTTCTCATCTGCACGAGTTGAGGTCTATAAACCGTTTCTCAGGAGGGGAAACACAACAAACGCTTGGTTTGGCATTGGAAAAACTCCTACAGTATTTACTCAATAATCAAACGTTTGACATGACTGCAGTACCTCACTTTAGCTGCACAGCGTAGGCCTACTTACATGAAGGCATGGTGTAGTAAGGATGTGCTGAAGAGAGTTATTATAGTTGTGAATTTTCTAATTGGTTACTATTTTTATTAAGCTTTGACTTTCTGTCTGTAGTTTAGTTTCAGTTGATTGTTTGTTTAGTTTAGTTTTAGTTTCACTGTTTTAACAGTCTTTTTTTAAATATTACTGTATGTATAGAACACACCAGAGGTAGGATTTAGGAATATCAGTATAGGTATTAAAATAAAAAGACATAACTTTTTGAAAAAGGTTGACTCGCATTCTTGTAAATATCCAAAGTCTCAATAAACGTGTCCATTAAAGGCTCAAGACAAGTTGTAATAACAAATTAACAAGGACTAAAACTAAGTCTTTTGTTTCTATATTTTTATTTTATTTCAGTTTTCCCACTAACAAAAACATATTAGGTTGTTTTTGAAAAGTTTATTGTTGTTTTTATCTTTGTTAACTAGAATGCTAGTTTTAGTTTTAGTTTAGTTTTAGCTAAATATAAAAACATTGGTGCTAAAGCAAACAAAAATATAGAGAAGAACACCACAGAGTGTCAAAATTCAACTTTGAGGGTGTTTTACTGACTACCCTGTGAACAGGGCGAAGCGGCACTCCATTCCTCAGAGATATGCTAAACCTTCTGGTTTCAAAACAAACAGACATTTTCAGCGTGTGACCTCAACCCCATTAATAATTTAAGGGGTTCTGAGAGAGACAAGAACTTCTTAAAATAATAGAATTGGACGACCTTGAGTCCACATTAGCCAGAAAGCATCAAGTCATTAAAGCAAAAGAAGTGTAAATAAACTTTTTGCTTAAAATGTGAAGTTGATCATTTATGATTTATTTTAAAAAAAACAAACAAACATTAAAGTTAAATCTTCACTTGTGGTCTCAGATTGGTGCTTTTTAAAAATACATTTTCATTAGTTATATATTCTTCAATGACTGCCTATATTTTTACTTACTGCCAATAACAGTTAGTAATGTTATCACAGCTAGAGGTAGAGCAAGTCATCTACCAACTGGAAGGTTGGTGGATCAATTCCCCGGCTACCATAATCATGTCCTTGAGCAAGATACTTAACCCAATGCTGAAAACTGTTCTGTTTTCCTAATCCAACTGTGATCTGCATGCTGTTTCCCAGCTTTTTCCAATCTAACTGTCTTTTCCGACCTATTCTAACTTGGACAAGTGAGGAGATGAGAAAAGAATGAAAGAAAGGAGGCAAACCAGTAGAGGGCAGTATGATGAACTGTTACTGTGACCTTACACCTAAGGCATACAGCAGTACACAGATGTGCTGGAAGCCTTCTAAAGAGGCAGGAAAAATACAGAAGTAATGCTAACTTTCTGTGGTGAGTTGTCTGTGTGTACACTCACCGTTGAGCCCTTATCTGTGAGGTAGCTGATTCCTTCCTCTGGTCCGATAGCTAACTCTACTGATATTACCCAGCTAGACTAGAGGGGGAGGAGAGACACAGTGCAGAAATGTAAATTTTGACACGTAGCTCATATTTCATCACATCATGTACTTACACAAATTTTATAAAAGCTCTAATATACTCCTTTGTTTTTGATGTCTAATGGCATTTATAACAGAGTTAGGTTTGAAGTTAAAGTAACTGCTGCAGAAAATAAAGTAATAAGAAGAAATACTGACTCTACAAGACCTGAAATAAGTAAGTGTGAAAGCGAACACTACCCCGTGCATGATAAAGAAGCTCTAGCCTCCCACCTCATGACTTTGGCTATATTTCAGTGTATGGCTAATACATTAAAACATGTCATTATTGATCTTTACATGTAACATTATCTCAATGTACCGAGAGTCCTACCCCTAAAGCGCATTTGAAGCACTCCTTGTCGAAGCGGTAGATGGGAGAAAGTATCTCAAAGAACTTGTGGATGCTCTGTTCATCATTGAGGTTAGCAAACTGCTTAAAGGTCTGCTGGATCTGCTTACGAAGAGCCTTCGGCTGATAGAGAGAGAGAAAAGGGGAAGGACAAAACACTTAAAAGAGTAAGGGCTTTCTGGGAAACAGCTGAGAACAAGCCAAGAAAAGCACAGCACACAACTGACAGGCCCCACTGTGAGTGACAACAGGAAGTTTAACTTAATTCCAGACAATCTGACTGATCAGACATTTAGCCAAATGTCCTTTCAGTCATCGGGTTTGTTTCCCTGCCAGTCACCCAAACAGCCTGTCAGCTCTAACTCAGCCGATACACAAAGCAGGAATCAGATGCAATTTGTGCTTTGACACCATTGTTACCAGGAAGTGGGTAGACAGTTAGTCACTAAGTGGGTTTAGATTATTATATTAGTTTAATCTCACCTTAAGGGAGTCAAGGAGGCTTTTGGGGAAAAACCTTCTCAAACCAACATCTTTCCTGAAATGAAAGAATAGTGCCACAACATTTTTCTTTGGACTAATTTACCTCAAAATAAAAATTTTTTGGAAGCATACACTCAAGACAGCATGACATGACATAACACAATCTTACTCTAGTAGCTCGTAGTTTGATTTCTTATCCAGGGCGTTGCCTGGCATCTCTCTGAAGAACCGCCTATATAATTCACAGAAAAGATTAACATATGAACAGGATCAAAAACTAGCCTCAAGTATTCAGGACAACTTCTACATATGGGATTTAGACAGATTTAGCAAACACACATGACACACTCAAGTTCATTGTGGTTTGAAGTGTATCAAATACCAAAACACCTGTAATGTGTGTGTGTCTGATGAGCGCGTTCTCACCTTATTTCCAAACAGCCCAGTTTCAGTGCAACATCTTGATCCACCTGGTCAGCTATGTGTTGCATGTAATCACTCTTTACCTGGAGAGACACATGGTGTGGCAGCAGATTTTTAATAAATATAATGAGCTAAGGACTGGAAATGTCTAATAACAGCATACATATTAGATACGACGGGCATCTTTTTACATGATTTAAAGACATGTCTGCCTCATTTGGACATAGCAGAAATGAGGCAATCATACAGAAGACAATAAATGACAGAAGTCACTTAAGAAAACCAGACTAGTTTTCTCTCATTCAGTATCCTGTTGTGTGGCCTCACCTGGTGATAGAGGTAGTTGAGAGAAGGTTTGTCTTCAGAAAAATGGCTGAGATAACCTTTAGGAAAGTACCGTATCCGCAACTCATACCTGAGAAAGACAGCAACAATGTTACCAAATACCAAATACACACACACATGCACAAACTCATAATCAAAAATGTGCAGTATCCAAGCTCAATAGTTGCCTGAGGACTAAAAACAGAAGGAATAAGCTCTCTCTCTCACTCACACACACACACACACACACACACACACACACACACACACACTTAAAAAAAAAAGTGTGTCTGGACAAACTACAGGATCATTAAAGCGATATTACTTGATTAAAAAGACGCACTGATTTCAAAGCATACAGTTTAAAATTTTAAAAATGAGGAACTTAACATGTCACATGACATCTACTGTGACAGATTGAGGCTAGCAATTTAACAGCGGTTTGTCTCTAATTGACTAATATCTGTTGACTTGGAAACTGCTGTGGTTTTACTAACTGATAAACACCAACGTTTTATAATGTACCTTACGGTGAAGTTAATTACAACTGTTATATTCATCAATGGGCTTTCAAAGAATCTGAAGATTTTTTTCAGGGATAATGCAGAAATATCTAAAAAAAAAATGCATATTTTGCATTATGTTTCATGCCATCAAAATGAACTTGAGTATTGCCTGATGATAGAGCATTTTGAATTAGAAATTCTGCTTTCTGTGAAGATGGAGAGGTTAAAGTATATGTCAGTGACAAAGCAGCACTGATGCATCTGGTAGCTTGCTTGCTTTTCTCAGTCTCCGTCACTTCAACAGGATGGCTGTTTGCCAACATGTGCTTAAAACTGAGTCTCATATTTGAAATATGTAGCCTTCTGTACTCACTACATTATGTCTCGTGGACTCGTATGACCATAAAGAATAATGAGCTTCCTGCAGTTACACTTGCCAATAGCTATGTCACAGAAGCACCCAGATGAGCCATCATTGTTTATAGTGATATATTATCTAATGAGTGACATATTGCAGTGACTACAGGGGAGAGAAGTGGGTCAGGAGAGTAATGAGCTCCAAACTGCTCTGATGTTACAGGACTGTGGTTAGGTAGCAAAGAAAATCAAGGCTGAGGACTGAATGAATAAAACATGTTTGTTCTATAACAAAAAGGGAATATGACAGAGGAGATAAAATGGTGTGTTTAATAGAAAAGAGGGGAACGATGTGAAGGATGAGAGTGAACAGTGACTAAATGTAAGAGAGAGAATGAGATAAATCGCACAGGGAGTGAGAAAGGAGTGAGATAGTCGGTTCATCCCCTGGGCCACTGCTGCTGTTCTAACAATAGCTCGGCAGCAGAAACTCCTGTGGGCTTGCAGCTCTGCCGCCCTCCAAGGCAGAACTGCAACAACTGGCGGAGCTCCTCTGCTGTATGTCAGCAGTGTGAACAACTCGTTCTTGTTGAATTCATTTAAATTTAATGAGTGGGTGTAACACATCACAGCAGGACAAAGGACTGAGTCTTAAGGAGAGTTAGTAACAATATCTACATCATCCACCCAGCACCAGCATAGTTTGAATCCAGGCTATAATTGGACAGAGATGCCCTCAAATAAGCAGCGACACAGACCAAAATGTTAGGCAGGTGCATCAAATAAATGAGAAGAATAAGACTTTATTCATTTTAATATAATACTAGGAAACCACGAGTGCCAAAAACATATCCTCACTGCATGCAACAAATTCACCTTTAACAGCCCAATTTAAGTTTTTCCTTTTTTTACTGCTTGTATAAGTAGTTTAAATAGTGATTTAAGGTGCAGTGCCTAGTTTATTGAAACCATTAAGTGATTTAATGGAGCCCATGTGTTTGCAGCAGTCAGTTGCAGCTGTTTATTGCAATAACTCCCGTCAGAGACGAGGTGGTGTCATTTTACTTTGGTTTCTGACATTATCACAACATTAAAGAAGGAAGGTAGCTACTTATTAAACCTATGCATATTTATAGACAAGCTTAAACAACAGAGATACTTTCAACCACAAGTGAGTACTGGTGCTACTTTAGGTATCCATTGATCAATATATCCTCATGCAAGACTGACATTACTGGTCAATCACAGGTATATTGGAGTCACTATACAGGCTGTACAATATGGATAGATAAATACTAAACGTTATACAGAAAAAAAACATGCTTGGGTTAACTTAGAAATGTGTCATCACACTGCTCTGAGCAGAGCTGCTGAATAGAAACTGGAGCGGATTCAAGCAGTTACGTTGTTAACAAACTCTGAATATCTTAGCACGGTGTGCAGTTTGCCCTTAAAAAATTTTGAGGAAACGGGAAAAGTGAATGCCAAAAGAAGCAAATGAACAATATCTAAAAGCATTTCCTTAAGAAACGAAAGACTTGACACATCTCAACTGAAAATCAGCGGCAATTATCATATGAAGTGATGAATCCAAATTTGTTGTCAGTGTGTACAGATGAGATGAGGAGAGAGGTATGACAGTGACTGTTTACAGCCAACCAGTGAAACATGTTTAAAGCTCTGTCATGGTTTGAACCTCCATTTCAACCAGTGGTGTTCATGGAAAGATGACTGAAGAAAAGCACTGTTAGATATTGATCCACCATGGAGCACCATCCTCAGTGGGTGGGCAGGTGACCATATGCTGTGTGGCTGCAAAGCAGTAGGGCTGGGTTTGAGTCCGACCTGCTGCACTTTGTCTTGCCCTCTCTCTCCCTCCCTGCTTTCCTGTCTATCTACACTGTCTCTATTGAATAAAGGCCAAAAATAAATAAAATTAATAAAATGGCTCTTGCTTATGTATATTTAAATTTTACTCTATAGTATTTGTTAAAAAAAAAAAAGTTAGAATAGTCCGAATGAGCAGTGGGAGCTAAGCACAAAACACAGAATCTCATAGTTTTACCTCCACTCTTCTTGCGGGTGCTGTTTTTCATATTTCTCCCTCACATGAGACACACCTAAATCAGGGTGTAACCAATGGAGAGCGTCCGAGCGCAAGTGGGTCAGGCGGAGACCTAAAGAGGCAACACAGCGCAGTTTGTGGATCTCTGCTATCTTCTGGATTACACCCTGTGGAAACAAATGGTTTGATGAAGAAAAAGAAAAGCGAAAATCAGGGAAATAACAACAATACCGAACTATGCAGGTAAGAAACGTGTGCACGTTACCCTGACGTCTGTAGCATCTCCGTGCCTGATATTGCTAGCCCATGTACATGGTTCGCTGTTTGTCTCAAAGTAATGGAAGATCTTAAGAACGCGGTCCATGGAGCCCGGGGGTCTCTCTAGACCTCCAGCAGAGCCACTGGTGCTGGGTACACCAGGCATTCCAGACCGGGATTTAACCCCGCAACCACCCGCAGACGGGTGGTTGATGTTGGGTTCCAAGTAGGAAGACGATGCCATGCCTGACTCGGATGCTCCTGCTAGGGCTAACTGGCCATCATATTCTGAAAAGAAGACAGCAACACAGTAAGGACCCGGTACTCAAATGAACTGGTATTCTGATTTAAAACGAAGTTGGTTATCATATGAATGAAGAAAGCACTGCACACATTAAATGAAAAGGAAACTTTGGAATTTGGATTTAGAGTTGGAGCTAATGAAGTCACAGTTCTTCACATAAACATTTCTACTAAAAAATTCTCAACCAGGGGGAAATTAGGCAGCTATAGAGGACAACTGCTAAATCAACCAGGCGGACAGCTTTTAGACTGACTGACTGCAAGTGGCTTGGTCATTCAGTCCCACCTGCAGCATAGCATGGATGGAGTCTATGCTAAGCTGCCGTCTCTATTGTGGTGTTTCTTAAAATCTAAAAGCTGTATGAGGATAATTAAACGGTTCTGGAAAAACTGGTGCCAGCTAAAAATGGCTTTGGCTCATTTTACGGAAGATTTCTCAAGTAGTGGTGCACCAAATTGAGTTTCAATATCTCAGCATTGACAGCTCATTCTACACGATCACGATCCTGACAGTAACCATCATTTTTCCTTAAGTCCCATTTCTAATGACAAACATTAGAAAAAAAGATGTTTTTCAAGGATTAACTATAGATTTATCCAAAGTTAACAATAGCTGCCCTGATACCAATATATAAATCACAGAATATCACAATGCAGATTTCCCGTTTCCAAATTCAAAATGACAATATGAGCACAATAATAAACTTTATTATCAAAAGGAGGCAGACACAGTAATAAACCAGGCTACAATAAAAATGCTGGCTTGTCTAATAAACAAAAGTAAACAAGTTATTGTCTCTCACTCTTCTTTCACCCAATATCCTTTTTTATTAGTTGCCGATTTGTTTCTCGTTCGACTGTATTTTTGTGCATGACACCCCCACCCCCCGATGCTTTCTGTGTCACACTCTCACTTCCTGGACATCCCCGCAGGGTTTTGTCGAGTCATCACCACTGCAAGGACTGCCTTCAGCTGACTGTGATTTCTGGCTATCAGAAATCACAGTCATCAACAAATTAGGCACAAGTGGTGCGAATCAAAATTACTTCACGGCTCATTTCCAGTATTTAAAGTGTAATCTTTGACAAAATGTGAAAGTGATCTGTATCATTAACATCTACCAGATGCTGGATCACAGGCAGATTATTTCCTATCGATAAGAACCGAAGCAGAGAGACTTATGGAGACTGAATGATGGAGATGCAAGACGTTTCAGCACTTAACCTGTTTGACCTGCAGCTGGATAGAAACATTTATTCTTCCCTCACTGTGAATCCAGGGTTTACCACAGCTAAAGAAAATTGGCTTTTTTGTGTTAAAATTTGTGTTTTTTTAAAAATCGTTTTTCAATGATAGGGGCTTTATTTGCTCAAGGATAACCTCTGTTCGCTCAGAAGATTGCTGTATTTTCTTTTGCACACATTCTTTCCATATTGGTGGTATTAAAATCAACCTTTCAGTGACCAAAGAAGTCCCAAAACTGATATGCTACCTAGATTACATCATGCTGTACGAGGTTATATTCTGAATAGCGAAAATGCTCATTGTGTCCTTGTAATACATATAGGTCAGTGTGAAATGGTCAACCAACAAATCCTCAAGGCACGAATAAAGTAGATTAGTAGATTAGATTATAAATGCCCCTCTTACTGTCATCATCCAATTATAATTTTACTTCTGGTATTAGGATTATTACATGGCCTGTCACAATCCTCAATAATCCCATTAATAATACCACCTTCTTTTCAATAACTGCTGAATTTATTTGATGAGATAAGTTAAAGGTAAAACATTTCGTTGCACATAATAAATATATTAGTGAGTTTTTGCAGCAAAGAACATTTATAATCCCTCCACTGTTACTCTGACAGCAGCTGAAATTTCAAGTTTCATAAGGCGATATATGCAAATCAGCTCTGCTTTATGCTTCAAAATTCCAGGCTTTCTGAACCATTCCTTGTAAAGTATCAACCCAGCACTTTAAAGTACAGGTATGACAAACCATTTGCTGACATTGCTCATGAAATGCTTTTGGCATATGAATCTTCTCAGTTTAGTTTACTGTGCATGTTCACTGACTGAAATCGCATTAGAATGGTTTGCTGGGGTTTTTTCTTTCCCCTTTGGTTGGATATTGTGTAACTGGGTGAGCAAAGCAATGTCTTTTGTATTTTTAGTTGTGGTAAATATACACTAAAAACACTCTCAGTGCAAACCCCTGTACAGACTGTGAGCGCAGAAAGAGTTGCAGATGCAGCTGCCCAGATTATCTTCAGTTGTTTTAACAGCACTAGCTCCAGCTTTCATGCCTTGTCTCAGAGGGACATGTTAAAAAATGTATTGGGGGCATTATTTTGACTGCGAATTATTTTTACATGTAAGCAACTGCAGCATTTTAGCTACAGAATCACAAACCAAAGTCTGCGGTCTGCTGCTTTCACTTGGTCAGCCGGTAGTCAGATTAGATATTAAGTATTCGAGCATCGTAACACATAAAACACAGGAGCAAAAATCACCTACATGCACCGATAACCTAAATACTACATACAGCTTTGCTAAATCCTGTTAGAGAAGTAAGCATACCTTCATTTCAGTGCAGACATACAGCCACTTTATAATCCTCATACTCTTACATCACATGTAAGTAGGAAATTTAGTATGAGAAGACGTATATAATGCACGATAGGTTGGAAAAAAATACTATAATGTATTGTTACAATAATTATATTAGCACACGCATGCACACACACACACACACGTATATACATACACACTCACTCAGTGACAATTAGGGCACTTTATAACACTATGGCTCTAAATGCAAATTAATAACTGTTTTAAAATAGGTGCCCTACACAACATAAGGTAAATGACATCATCTCTCATTTCCACCAATCTCTTCTCAGTGCAATTGCACTAAATTCCCACATGCAAGCCCTCCCACACACACACAAGCGTGAAGACATGAATCAAATCAACTAGGCCAAGTAGACAGCCAGGAGGGGTGCGGGCAGCTTCCAGACCCACTGCCCGCGCTCTCAGTGGGGCTCCACTGACTGACAGTAAGCCTGTTGAACCACAGAAGGCTGGAGTTGAGCTCAGTCCCACAGCAGCAGCAGCTGGAGGATGGTTTATCTCCTTTTCTAACGGGTATCTGGGTTACTGGGGTTAGCACAACCCTGGGGAAGCAGAGGCTTGGCAGCAGTGGCTTGCCATCGCCATCTCTGTACCATTGCCTTTCTCTTTTCTTCCTCCTCACTTGTTCACATCTCTCACATCAAGCCTATCTTTCTGAAAATGTCACAATTTTTTCCGTTTACTTCCATTTCTCATGTATCAAAACTCCCAAAAGCTTCTTTCCCCATGCTTTCACTCTTCATCTGCTCTTTTCTTCTCATCCTCTTAAACACATCCCTTCTCTCTTCTCACATACTTACAGACCTTTTAGCCACTGCCTTCACAAGTCCATTTGATCCTCCTGTCCTATTGAACCACCTCTCCTCCTTCCTCCCTCTCATCTTCAATTTCCTCTGCTTCCCCCCTCTCCACGTATTTCTCTCGCTACTTCAAAGGATACGCATAATCTATATTAGACTGAGGAGCAGACATGTGAAGGCTAAACATTAGTTGCAAATATTTCAACAGTTTAATACTGACAAAAAAGCAACCATATATACTACTTTAACACTAAAAGCACTTTATACAACATGTCTCATTCACATAAGCACGTTTTTTAATCTGTTTCTATCTAACACTCACACTCCAATCAGTGCATCAGGAGCAACTTGTTGTGTCTTGCAAGTACAAATACAGCAACCGAGGTTTGACTCAAGTGCTGTAAACATGGACTGACATACACTCTTATTAGACAGCGTCGGCAACTAACTAAGTTAAGTTCAGCCATTGTTGCAACTGGACCTGACATGTAACAAATTCTGACAGCAAACAGAAACAGTACAGATCATTATGCCTGTAGCATACTGTGAAAACACCCAAAGCTCAGCGTGATGAAAAGTACAATTCATCTTGTTCAGGATACCTATATCCACTGGCAAACACAATCATTTACCATATGTGCACCTAATGAAAGAACAGTGCACTGCCTTCAAGATACTGCATCACCAATTATTATGGATTTAATGTTATAGTCATAAAGAGCGAGAATTAAGTGAAATAAACAGCAGAAAGTACTAACTAGACAATGCATAGTATACATCTCCAATTTCTCTACTGATGCTTCTTAATACCTACTTGGTAAGGGGTGCTGTGCATAAATGCACCCCCCCTTGGTCCAGCAGAGAGGGATGCAGCCGCTGCTCTCCATTTGTACTGTAGGGGGAGCAATTCCAGGTGTGGCCACGGGGCCCAGACAAAACTACTGGGCCCTAATAACAGCATAGAGCCTATGACTAGGGGCAATTCCTCATTGGGCTTTATGCAACAATTTAAAAAAAAGATTCCAGGTAGATAAATCTGAAGACACCCGTTGAAAAAAAAAAAAAATCAACAAGATGTGAAAAACAGTGGGAATTTGTTGTGCTGGTGACTGGAGTCTTTTTGGTAAAAAGCTTATTGATTGTAAAAAAAAAAATATCGTAGTAAAAAAAAAAAAATCAATTAGCATCCCAGAATTGAAAGTAATGCCAGTAAAGGAAATAAACTAATAGGAGGAAATAAAGAGTGTCAAATATCTTTTGTACTGACGACACATCAAACAGAGAAAACACTGGCTGGCTTGCTGTCTATGCTGTAGCAGTCACTACATTAGACTAAAAGTGCAGCTGATAGAGAAGATCCAATAGCTTTTAAATAATACTGACACAGAGGTCCATCAGGGCTTCTTGTGCATAATAATCTAATTTATAAATATTTCATGTCTAATATTTGGTGAGAAAATCCAAGCTCCAATCACAAGACTGCAACTCATTTCTCCACAGCTTTTTGAAACATTACTCTACTTCAGGAGTCATCAACTTGGATTCCTGGTCTTAGTAATCAGCCGGTCTGACTCTTGCCATGTCCTTTCACACAGAAAATTTTGCAACGTAATATGTAACGATCCTCTGTCAGGAAGCTCTTTCACCCCAAGGAGACTGAGCCTCTGAGGGTAGAGATAATTCAGTAATTTGCTCAAGGACACTTCACTGGAAGCTTCCAGAAAAAGATTCTCATGACTGATGATTTCCTTCCCTATTAGGCCATCTTGTAGGCCAATAAATTCCCACAAAATATCAAATTCAGGTCATCGGTAGGGAGTTAGTGATCCAATATATCAATCCTTGATAATAAACTCAAAGGTTTCTTTCCTGCAGCCATAAATCTTCAGCCACCGGGGTTTGGCATTACACGTCAAATTTCCAGGATACAAAATAAAAGTGACAGCGCTCACTGGATACGTAGGACTCCATAAAATCACATCAAGCGATCATTTTCCAAAGGAAGGTAGCAGTTCTGTTCTGTAAATCCACAATGCTGTCCAGAGGGGATGGCAATGCAGATCACAGCAAGGAGACCAGAGAAACAGGCATCAGTGAAAAAGACACAAAAATGTAGGGCACAGAAAATAAGCCTAGTGAGGGAGAGGAAAATAAGAGTGACTGAAGCAAGGGGGATAAAGAAAGAGCAAAGACATAAAGCTGAAAGAAATAAAAATTAGAAAAATGAGATACAGTTAGAATTAAAGATGAGTGGAAAAGAACATTTTGAGATGGGGAAAAAAAGAGAAGAAATGAAGCGAGCGGAATGATGAAAGAGAAGCAGAGAAACCTCAGGGAGAAGCTGAGCCTCACGTCCTCCAAAGCTTTCCCACAATGCTCAGAGCCAGCAGGAGTTAACCAGGTCAGAGCAGGTATCTGACGCTAGAGCGGGACATAAGTGAATGAAGAAAAGAAAAAAAGAAGAAGAGCAGGATGGAAGCAGGACTAAAAAAAAAAAAAAAAGGGAAAAATATTTAGCAAGAGCAGGTTTGATGCTGTAAATCCATTTCGAAGTCAGGCAGCGGCGTGTTGCTTAGTCTTTCTTCTGTGGAGGCGGAAAAGAAGCGAGAGCAGTTACAACATAACTTCCAACCTCTCAGACATACACAGATACACCCAAACACACGCACGCGCACACACAGACTGCTCATCCAGCAAAATCTTTAGGGAGTCAAAATGAGTGCACCGAAAAGCATGAAGATCAGACTGAGTGTAAGCCAAAAAGGGTGTATTAGAGTTCCCATATGTGTGTGTGCGCGTCTGAGAGAGCGAGAGAGAGCGAAATGCATAGGAAATATGAAATCAAAGTGACTGCATGTGAGTGTCAGCAAAAAGTGAGAGTGCGCGTCTGTGAGCCAAGTGTTTCTCCTCTGCTGTGTTTTAGGTTTAAGCTGCTGCGACCACACTGCGAAAAAGCTGCTCGGATTGCTAACAGGCACAACCATGGAGGGGAGGGGGATGTTGGTGTGTTTGCAGAGGTGTGCGTGTGTGTAAGGCAGAAGGGGGGGGGGCACACGGAACAGAAGCAGGAAGAAAGATAGATATAAACATTGTAAATGAGACTTGATGCAGTGGAAAGTAGGTGCGCTGATTGGACAGAATGCTAAAAAGGACCCGGTGACTTTAATAAACAATTATATGAACACACAAACCTGTCACACACACACCCACGGTTTTACCAAGATTAGTGATTAGCCACTGAAAACACACATTCCACTCTCCTACCACTTACGACATTTGTTTGTCTACATTTCTCTACACCATCCCTCCCCCTTTTGACTCTGCAGCCCTCAGCAGGTCTACACTGCCCTCTGTCCACGCTCTCCTCCTCTCCACACATACTTCACCTGCTCCTGCAGCCTGCGAGCTTCACTGGCAGCAAAGCACTCCAACATTCAATCCCTCTAATGTGACAGCGCACAAGATGTTGTGAATGCTTTACAGCTAAGCTTCTAGTGGCTAAGCGCTGCAAGCAATTACTCACCGAGTATGCCCAGCCACACAGGAAACGTGTTTAAATGCTAGGATGTCTACTTTACTTTTTTATTGAACAAAAAAGTAAACCAAATAGAATAGCACAAACATTTTTAGTTAGTTAATTCTGCAAATATATCAAAAAGGCAACTTTTTGTGTTTAATATTCAGAAAATAAAATTATTACAATAAATTCGCCACTTTATTAGGTATACCTGATTAAGACTCTTAATTAATGTAATGTCAACAGAGGCTATGAAGTTATGAATTAAATCTGTGCGCATGCGCCAACCAGCGTGCAGCCTGTTACAGTCGCTCCTGCTTTTCTCTTAGTTTAGCTCTTTTTTCTTACGTATTCTTTTTTTTTCTGACTTGTATTTTCCTCCGTTTTCTATCTCTTACTCAATCATGTGGATTGAGAGAGTTTTTGTTCTTCTGGTGGCCGTGGAACTGTTACTTTTATCATGGAACGGGACCGCGGCACATCTCCTACACGCACGGACTGTTTACTCCAGAGATCAGCTGATCGCCCTGATGCCGGCCGGCTCGCTGGCCAGGCCCGCAGAAGTGCCCGCAGAAGTACCAGCTGAAATTTGGAGGAAAACACATCGGGGATGCAGAGGTCAAGGACAGAAGAGAAGAAAAAAGGTGACGGTGAGACAGCGGAGGCTCGAAGCGAGGAGGAGGTTTAAACCGTGTCTGCCGTCTATCGTGATGGGAAATGTGCGATCGTTGGCAAGTAAAATCGACGAGCTCTCAGCACTGGTACGGAGTCAGAGGGAATACCGAGAGTGTAGCCTGATGTGTTTCACCGAATCATGGCTGCACCAGGTCATTCCCGATGAGAATGCTTCCGTGGAAGGCTTCCACACTGTTCGGGCGGACAGGGACAGCATCGCTAGCGGTAAGCGTAAAGGAGGTGGGCTTGCTGTTTTAGTTAACAACCGGTGGTGTAACCCTGCCAACATAACAATCAAAGAAAGGATTTGTTGCCCGGACACTGAACTGTGTGCTGTTGGACTCAGGCCGTATTATTTACCCAGGGAATTCTCTCACGTCATCTTGGTGGCTGTTTATGTTCCCCCCTCTGCTAACCCCACAGCTGCATGTGACACTATCCACTCTGCCATAGCTCGGCTACAGACTCAGCACCCGAGTGCCTTTATTGTGATCTCGGGTGACTTCAACCATGTATCACTGGACAATACACTACCAACATTCAAACAATATGTGGACTGTCCCACCAGGGGAGAGAAAACTTTAGACTTACTGTATGCTAACGTCAAGGATGCATACAGCTCCTCCTCCCTCCCCCCACTTGGTAGGTCAGATCATAACCTGATTCACCTCACCCCCCGCTATGTGCCAATTGTGAGGAGGGAACCTGTGACCACCAGGACTGTCAGGAGGTGGTCAGAGGAGGCAATAGCGGAACTACAGGGCTGTTTCGAGGTGACCGACTGGGAAACACTCTGTGAGCCTCACGCCGAGGACATCAATGGGCTTACTGAGTGTATCACAGACTACATAACTTTCTGCACCGACTCCATTGTTCCAGCTCAGACTGTTCATTGTTACCCAAATAACAAGCCGTGGGTGACTAAGGACATCAAAGCCCTCCTCAACAACAAGAAGAGGGCTTTCAGAGGGGGCAACAAAGAGGAGGTGAGGATGATCCAGGTGTTACTAAAGGACAAGATCAGAGAGGCTAAGGACAATTACAGGAGGAAGCTGGAGTGGAAACTCCAGCAGAACAGCATGAGAGAGGTGTGGAGGGGCATGAAGACCATCACTGGATTCAGGCCAACCAACAGCAGGGGAGCTGAGGGAGGTGAGAATAGAGCCGACGAGTTGAATCTGTTTTTCAATAGATTCGACACCACAGTGTCTGCTCCCACCCCCACAACCTCACCTGCAGTCAGCCTGGAATCCAGAGCCACACAACTGTGCCAGCCTCTCTCTTCACATGTTGCCTCCTGTGAGATTCCTGACACCCCTCCCCCACCCATCACCTTCACTCAATACCAGGTTGAGATGCAAATGAGGAGACTTCACTCAGGCAAGTCTGCTGGACCAGACGGAGTGAGTCCCCTTGTCCTCAAGGCCTGTGCCCCCCAGCTGTGTGGAGTCTTTCATAAACTGTTTATGCTGAGTCTGAGTCTGCAGAGGGTCCCGGTGATGTGGAAGACATCATGCCTCGTCCCTGTACCAAAGACGCCTCGTCCCAGTGGCCCCCAGGATTACAGGCCCGTGGCACTGACCTCCCACATCATGAAGACCCTGGAAAGGCTCATCCTGGACCAGCTGCGACCCATAGTAAGACCACATCTGGATCCCCTTCAGTTCGCTTATCAGCCTCGTCTCGGAACAGAGGACGCCATCATCTACCTGCTCAATCGTGTCTACACCCATCTGGACCAGCCGGCGAGCACTGTGAGGGTCATGTTTTTTGACTTTTCCAGTGCTTTCAACACCATCAGGCCGACCCTCCTGGGTGATAAGTTAGCAGCGATGCAGGTGGATGCTTCTCTGGTGTCCTGGATTGTTGATTACCTGACAGGAAGACCACAATATGTACGTCTCCCACAGTGTGTGTCTGACAAGGTGATTAGCAACACAGGGGC